ACGATATGTCAACGTAGGTTTATCCTTGGTAAAAAATATAGCATTCTGGTGAGTGACGTTGATAATGGGAGAGGCAATGCATGTGTTGGGGCAAGGGGTATATGGGAAATCTCTGTACCTTCCTCTCAATTTTGTTATAAACCTAGAACTGCTCTAAAAAAAATAAAGCCTTTACATGAAAAGGAATGAATGATTGACTCACGCTGCAACATGGATGAACCTTGAAAACATCATGATACGTGAAAGAAGTCAGTCACAAAAGACCACATAGTGTATGATTCCATTTACAGCAAATATCCACAATAGGCAAATCCTCAGAGTCAGATAGTAGATGAGTGGTTATCAGGTGATGGGGAGTAGAGGGAACTGAGAGGGACTGCTAAGAGGTGTGGGGTGTCATCGTGAGGTGATAGAAATGTTCTGGAATGATAGCGGCAACAGTTGTGTAACAATGAATATACTAAAAACCACTGGGCTGGGGCTGGCCCCGTGGCCGAGTGGTTAAGTTCGCGTGCTCCGCTGCAGGCGGCCCAGTGTTTCGTTGGTTCGAATCCTGGGCGCGGACATGGCACTGCTCATCAAACCACGCTGAGGCAGCGTCCCACATGCCACAACTAGAAGGACCCACAACAAAGAATATACAACTATGTACCGAGGGGCTTTGGGGAGAAAGAGGAAAAAAATAAAATCTTTAAAAAAAAAAAAAAAAAACCACTGGGCTGTACACTCTAAAATGGTGAAGCTTATGTACGCAAATTGTATTTCAAAAGTACTGCAAAATCAAACGATAACGACCACTATCAAACTCACTGTTTGTGTGGGTCAGAAATTCGGGAACTGTTGAGCTAGGGGTTTCTGGTCCAGGGCATCGCATGAGGCCGTGATGAGGCTGCAGTCATCAAATCAATTGGAGCTCCAAGATCTGATTCCAAAGAGGTGCAGTCACAAGGTGACTGGCGGTTCATGGGAAGCCTCAGTTTCTTCCCACATAGTCTTCTCTAGAGGCTGCTGGAGTGCCCTTATGAATTGGTGGATGACTTCTCCTAGAATGAGGGAGAGACAAGTGTTGCTACCTCAAGCAAATCACAAAAAGTTTCAGAAAGTTTGTGTCTCCTGTAGGTTGAAGATCACAGAAACTAGTGTCTGACTCACACAAGTAAAGTCTAGAGGCTGGGGCTGAAACTGTCCCTGGCAGAAGAGACAATAAAATGATAGCCTTAGATGTAAATTGAACTGCCAGCAAATGCGGAAAACCCTGTGCTTCCAGGCACAAATGTGGACTCCACAAAAGACAGTGGCATGAGAGTGTCACAAAAGGAAATCAGCCCAAGTGAGAACAGGGGAACAGAAGGACCCCAACACAGGGGTGGGTCACAAAAGGCCTAAAGACTGAAGGAATCTAAGTGGCTATTCAGAGGAAAGACTCTGGGTGTGGCAGGGCCTGCACTCTGAGGTCCCTCAAGGAACCTACAAATGTCCCCATCACAGGGTCAGACAGGGATTTCCTTCATACCACAGAGCCATACTGCATATTGCAACTTTCCCAATGACGCGAGGGTATGCCTCTCCCCCACAACCCTTGCATTCTCTGGGCCCCCATTACAGATCAGAAACAGTGCGTGGTCAAATTTACATTTAGACATTTATGTGACCATTGACTAATGTCTGTGAGTGCCATTGGAATTTTAGCTCGATAACAGCAGGGACATATCTGCTTTGTTACTATTGCCTCCCAATGACAATGTGTGGCACACAGTCTGTGCTCAAAAAGTATTCCTGACCCCTACTTCCCTCTATCTACAAAAATTAACTCAAAAAAGATCAAATACCTAAACACAAAAGCTATAACTATAAAACTCTTAGAAGGAAACATAGGCATATATCTTTATGACCTCGGATTAGGCAATGGCTTCTTAAATATGACACCAAAAGCACAAGAAAACAAAAAATACAGCTAAATTGGACTTCACCAAAACTAAAACCATCAAAGGACCCTACCAAGAAAGTGAAAAGACAACCCACAGAATGGGAGAAACTACTTGCAAATCATATATCTGATAAGGGTTTAGCATTCAGAAGATACAAAGAACACTTACAACTCAACAACAGAAAGAAAAACAACCCCATTATAAAATGGGCAAGAAATTTGACCACACATTTCTCCAAATGAGGTACCCAGAGTAGTTAAATTCAGAGACAGGGCTGGCAGAGGGGAGGTTGAGGAATTATTGTTTAATGGGTACAGTTTCAGTTTGGGAAGATGAAAAATTCTGGAGAAGGATAGTGGTGATGAGTGCACAACAATGTCAACGTACTTAATGCCACTGAACTATACACTTAAAAATGGTTCAAACGGTAAGTATTGTTATGTATATTTTACCACAATAAGAAAGGAATGAAGTACCCATACATGCCACAACACAGGTAAAACTTTAAAAACATTATACTTAGGTGAAAGAAGCCAGACATAAAAGGACACAGATTATATGATTTTATTTATGTGAAACATCCAGAATAGGCCAATCTATAGAGAGAGAAAGTAGATTCGTCATTGCCAGGAGCTGGGGGAAGGGAAGAATTAACTGCTAATAGGCAGAAGCTTTTTGGGGTGATGGAAATGTTCTGGAATTAGACAGTGGTGAGCACAAAGCACTACACTGTCACTATACTAACAACCACTGAATTACACATTTTAAAATGATAAGTTATACGTTTTGTGAATTTTATCTTGAAAAAAATTTGGACAAAAAGTCTTCCCCCAGAATGAGTAATCAAAATGCAAGACAGAAACTATCCTTTCTGTGACCTAGCGTCAGAGGTCACAAAGCATTCTTCCTGTCAAGCGCATTAGAAGTGAGCCCCTGAGTCTGGCCCACACTCCAAGTTAGGTTTTACACTTGCATCATGAAACTGGTATCATTTCAGTTTCACAACATGGGGAAGGTACTAATGTGAAACTCAGGCTCAGAGAGGTTAAATTAATTTCCTAAGGCTGCAAGTCCAATAGGTGGCAGAGCTCAGACTGGAACATGGAAACGGCTGACTCCATAATCTGCACTCTTAACCTCCATCAGTGGTGGTTCTTAACCAGACACACTTGTTTGTGAAACCACAGATGCTTGGGACCCCCCACCCCACCGAGGACCTCTTAAATCATTATTTCCAGGGCTTGGTCCATACACTTGAATGTTTTTAAGCGCCTCAGGTGTTTCTGAGGTGCATCCTATACGTAGAACCATCCCTCTGTGCCTGATGGTTTTATATTATTTATATGGGCAGCTGACTCCAGCTGGATGGTCAGTGCCTTGGGGGCAGGGCCCCCACCTCAAGCTTTTTGTGACTGCCACTATGACAGCACAATGTGTGCCTGCAGGAGGCAGGCACTCAGGAAATATCATTGGCTAGGAGGATTCAGAGCAACTGCCACCCAGAATGTCAGCTGCCAAGGGGTTCTACTGGAACTGAGGGGCACAGAGTTTGTGCCTGGGAGTTGGCCTACCTGGCCACTCTCTCCAGTGGGCAGGAAGTTCACTGGGGCCCACTTGGTGGGCAGCCCCTGATGCCAAGTGGGGCACCTCAGCTTAGCCCAGAGCAGAGGTGTCAGGAAATAACGCTCTCCCCAAGCTTCTTCTCCCAGTTCCCAAACTTAGAGGCCCACCTTAGGACCTAGAATTCATTGAGGCTTGGTGGTTATTTGTCCAACGGTCACTATGGATCACCGAAGCCGACCTCGAGGCATAGGCCTAAGCCGAATGCCTGGGACTCAGTCCCGAACTCCCCGGGCCCCACTCCCCCTCCATGTGGAACAAGAGGCCAGGGAAGGAGAAGAATGGGAGCAGCGAGAGCAGCCTCGTCAGAGGACTCCTGTCTGCGGGCCTTCGGAAAGTGAAGAGTTCCCAGACGTTATGGGTAAGGAGATGCTCCCCCATGCCCTGACAAAAGGGAAGTGGTTTCATATTTTTCCTCCTTTTCCCACAGGAAACTGGGATTAGGAAACAGAAAATAAAACTTATAACGGGCAGGACTGGGGTGAGGGATGAGTTTGGAAAGGGTAGGTTTCCCATCTGCCTCAAAGGGTTGTCCCAGGGAGCAAGGATATAACATGTGAAAGCAACTTGAAACTAAGACAGGCTGTCGGGGATAGTGGGTGTTATTTACAAAATCAAGTGCTTACAAGAGTAAATGCCATGTGCCAGATGCCTTGGGAAACAAAGATGAATGTGACATAGATTTCTACCCCAGGGAGCCGACAGTTTAACAGAGGAAAGACAAACTGTTAGGATGGCATCTGTGGGATTCAGAAAGATGACAAGAGCTCACAGGAAGATAGAAGAGGACTCTGCAGGGCATAAAGGGTGCCAATGGCTCCTGCAATGTGATGGAGTAATTGTCAGAAGATAGAACAACACCGTGCTGGGATAAAGTCTGGTTTCCTGGGAACTTTTCAAGTCTTGATTTAAAAAAAAAAAAGACACTGAGACGGACTTAAGTCACCAGACTGCCTGTTTGTCCTTGCCTGCTGGAGGAGAGTAAATGGTTAGACCCTTCTTCTCCAAGTTTTCCCAGGACTTAAAAGAGCTGCAACTAGATGGGGGACTCACGGCACTGTTCATACAGATCTCTTAAAGGAAAAAAGGAGTAACTGTTAGAAGTATAAAATGCAAGCTCGTCAAGGGCAGATAGGATAGTTTCACTTACAGGGGGCGGGGGGCGGGGGGCGGGGGGTGGGCGGCGGTGTCGGGTGGCGTGAGGTGGTGAGGCTTTGTGGAAGCGATGGGCGTGGAAGGATGTCTGAAAGAGTGCACAGGGCGGAGCACGCGACGCCAGTCACGGATGATGCCACCAAGCGGCCTTGGCAGACTTGGGCTAAACTCCCGGCCCTGGCCCGCCCCAGGGCGCAGGCGCAAACGCTGGCTGAGGGCGTGCAGGCGGGTCAGGCGCCCGCGTGGCGAGGCCGGGGAGGGGCGGGGGTGCGCTGAGCGGGGGAGCTGGGGACAAGGTTGGGGGCGGGAGGGGGGGAGTGGGAGGCGGAGCAGGTCTCGCGAGGCCGCGCCCCGGCTCACGCGGGCGTCGAGCGCGGGGTGCTAGCTGCCTGCCGGCGGGAGAAGTCGCGCTCGCGCCAAGGGACGTGCGGCTGCGCTCGCGTGGTCATGGAGGCGCCGCCGCCGCTGCCCGCCGCGTTTATTCCGGCCCCTGGCTCGAGTCGAAGGCTGCTGCTGCTGCCGCTCCTGCTGCTCCTGCTGCCGGCCGGGCCTCTGCGGGGCTGGGAGGCAGAGGAGAGGCCCCGAACCCGCGAAGAGGAGTGCCACTTCTACGCGGGTGGACAAGTATACCCAGGGGAGGCGTCCCGGGTTTCGGTCGCTGACCACTCCTTGCACCTCAGCAAAGCCAAGAGTAGGTGGTGCCCCGCCAAGGCTGGGGGGGTGACCAGTGGCAGAGGGAGGTGGGTGGTAGGGAGGGTCTGGTGACACGTGTACCCTGGTTGCGGTGGGTGCCCGGAGCCTCGCTTGGGCGGCACCTCGGGCTGCCTTTGGTCCCTGAGCCGTCCTGGCTCTCTCCTGGGGGTTGGGGGGATCGAGGGGGGTGCCAGCTGTGAAGAAAGGGATGGTTTCCACTAATCAGATTTTGGAAGAAGTGGTGGTTACCCCAAAAGCCGCAGATGAGGGAAAGAGGGTGGCCCTGTTCCCCGGCGTGCAGGCATCGCAGGATGTTGTGCAAACTCACACACTTCCTCAGACATCACAAAGTGCCTGCAGCACATCACGTCCGTTTTCAAGTCCTAGTTCAGGGAAGAATGCATTGATAAGTTGAACGATGATTCACAGAAAGTTTGACTAAACAGAAAAGTGGTTAAACAAAAAGCCCAGGAGGGCAAATGTTTCATTGTTCTTTTTTTTCTTTTTCATCTTGTAAAGACGACTATTAAAAGCTCTTCCCCAAAATCTGTATAGGTAGTTAATGGGTATTCTTTGTGTTTCTCAGAAATGAAGAATTTGTCACAGGGTGTATTTTGGAGGCTCTTTGTAGGGAAACGGGGGAAAAGGAGGTTGGAAGTAATGCATTTGGTTTGATGATAAACCTGGTGGCAAATTTGTGTCCTGGCAGTTGGTTTTTGATTATTTGCATTCCTTCCAGTGTACACAGCTAATGGCCACTTTCAGGAAGGACACGTCAGACTAAGTAGATACTGAGAAAGTTGTGGCCTGCTCCATCTGGATGTTAAGATTAGCCAAAAAGAAGTGGCCAGGGAGGGGCTAAAGTGAAGACGGTCCTTTGCTTGCTTTTGAGTAACTGCTTTTCCTACGGATCATTTGGCATTCTGTAGATGTGTATTTGGCTTTTGTGGTTCAGTTACAGCATGTTATGTGCCCATATTCAGTGAAAAAAGTAATGCTTCACAATTATGAATCCCCAGCGTTCAATGGGATGTTGTTATAACTTAGGTTGGAGTGGGAGTGATAAGTGAGAAAAACTATTTTGCCTCCTTTAACATTTGCAGTTCTTTCCTACTGAAAGTTAACTACTTTTGGACTTTTGTTTTTAAAAAGCCAGTCTTGCACTTTTAAAAACCTAGTATTTCCAAGTCCCATTGGTTTTACTTGCCTGGGAAGATATTTTGAAATATGTCAGCCAGTTAACTGTTTACTGGCTTTACATATATTTCTCATAAGAAACAAATCCCATCCAAGTCCGCTCATGGAAGCAAAACATGGTAATAATAGATCTCCATTTACCAGCCAACTTTTTCAAATTTTAGTTATTTGCTACATTTCTTTGTCACATGGAGGCTTATCTAGAATTAAAGATACCAGGACTTTTATTCATAAGATGGAATATTATGGAGCCGTGAAGTCCATACTTACAAATAATTTTAGTAACATGAAAAACTGCTCATGATTTACTGTTTCCTTTTTAAAAGGGGTGCAACGTGGTCAAAATTCGTCTGTTTGACAAAGACTGGAAGGAAAGCCATAAAAACGTTAACGGTAGTTAAATTGGTGGGGGTTTTAGGGAGAAGGGATTTAAATATTCTTTCTACTGCTCTGCATTTGCCAGAATCTTTGTTAATTATCTGATTTATATTCAGGACAAGTTTTGTTTTTTAATGGATACAAGGGGTTGCTTTGGGAATTCCATTTATAGATCTTAGCAAAGTAACTACATTCTTTTTGCTCCCTAAATTGATGACTTTCTTTTTCTTTGAACTAACATTGCAATTCTTAAATCAAGAACCCAAAATTTCCAAAATCAATTTCTTTTTCAGATTTGTTTTTCTCAATATGCTAAAATCATTAAGGAGTATCCTTGTAACAGATCATTACAATTATAATCTCACACTTGAGTAGCGTTTTAAATAATATATGTAAAGCATATATAGCTCAGTACTCTTCTGCTCTTTAATTCTCCCTCCTGGCCTTTACCTAATCAGATCAGGATATTTATATGAGGTAGGCTGTTGGCCCAAGATAAGTGATAATATGTTAAATATTAACTTCACAGAGAAATTCATCTTAAGTTTGTCTCTATTTGCAGAGTGACCAAAATTGTTGGCTATTATTCAAAATACAATAAGCGCTGGCTATTATAAGCCGTACTTTCTAGGAACCCTAGTCAAACTTGAAAGCAAGTATTGACTTCAATGTATGTAATGGTTCTGTAAGTTTAAGTGCTATCTGAATGTGTTAAGGAAGTTCAAGGTACATTATTTTCAAAGCGTGTTGGCTAGAATTACACCATGCCCTCACAGGAGAGTGGCAGGAACTATTCAATTTCCATCAGGTCACTGGAAACCTGTGCAAGGGGGTCTCCTATTTCAAAGCCCTCTAGGAAAATAATCCCATAGTCTAGGATTTGACACTCCTGGCCTCATGTATTTGCAAATTTCCTCCTTCGGGAGTGTAGCCTCCTCTGCAGCAGGTCCTCCGTGTGTATGTGAGAAACTGGACAAGCGTTTAAATTAGTACACCTGGAAGACTGTCATGTGAGAGAGAAAATCTAATGATTTGAAATGTAGGAAGTTGATTAACTTGGAGGGGCTATAGTGAAGTATCCAGTAGGGTTTAGTGCAGGGGTGGGATATAGGGGGTCTGTGAGCATGTATAGGAAAAAAAGGCTTTATTTTCACTGACCTCCAACTGAAATTTAGCATTTCCTTCCATTATGAACACCAGCAACAAACCACAGTAGCTTCAGCAGTCCTTGTACCTGTCACCGAAATTTTCATGCCACATTATGATTGTTGCAGATATCCTAAAATGTAATTTACACTCATCACTATCTTAGGTAGTTATTAGATCACTGCTAGATCTTGCAATTTTAAAGTGTTAATAAAAGGACACATGTATTATTATAGCACCAGTTTGTTTTTTAGTATTTTGATAATTGTATTTCAATATAACTGGTTTCCTTTGTAACTCTATATATTTTATTTTATGCATTCAATAATGCTATTCTGAGAAGTCTGTAAGCTTCACCAGACTGCCAAAGAGGTCCAGAGGATTAGAAGCCTAGATTTTTAGTGATTTCCTAAAGATGCCCTTCCGTCATCCCGCCAACTTTCTCAGCGTTACAAAACATCATATATTTTTCTTTCTTAGTTTCCAAGCCAGCACCTTATTGGGAAGGAACAGCTGTGATAAATGGAGAATTTAAGGAGCTCAAGTTAACTGATTATCGTGGGAAATACCTGGTTTTTTTCTTCTACCCACTTGATTTGTAAGTAATACATGTACATAGCAGCTAGTAAAACCTCAGTCATTATCAATCATTATTCAAGAACATCAATAGTTAGGAATTATTTTATTTAGCTCTTGGTTCTTAAAAGGCAAGCTGAGATGAAGAATTTTTTTCAAGAAGGTAACATCTACCATATATTTCAGAATCATAACCCATTGACCCCAATACTTTATACTTCTATCTATATGACTGTTATCATAATGTAATCATTAGAGAAAAGCTATAATTATTTTCATTAAGCTGTATCTACTAAGGCAAGAAAATGGACTGATGATATTTTAGAAACCATTTAAAAGCAAGACTTATGCCACAAATCTGTTTACTGTATCTCTATTAACTAGAAAATTAATAATTTAATTAATAATTATTGTTTATTTAAAAATAATTAAAATTAATCACCTTTGCTCTGGTGATACCATTTAACTGTGGTTTTACTATTCTTTGCTGCGTCTGTTGCTTTCCTGCAATTTCAACGTTTTCCTGAAAATATTGCATATGCTTAAGGAATAATGCTTATTAATATAAATTATAGTTAGGGGGCGGTTTCTCTTCCTTTAACTCTGTGACAGTCAACGCTTTTGTAGATAGTCAAAAAGTTGACTCAAAAGTAAATACTCTTGCAGCTTTAGTCACGTCGAGGATTTAATTTTATTTTGAGTGTTTTTCAAATTCCATGAAAGTGAAAAGATACCAAAAAGAGAGTTATTCTAACTTTTATCTTTTTCTATTTGAATATATTTTTTTGTTACAAAAAGTAAGTAGAAGATTTTTCTATCTTTGCCACTGGATATTAAGATCCTTTTTCCATTAGGTCTTATCTAGAACTATGTAAATAAAACTTAAACTTGCAGAGAGGATATACTTAAGCTCATCTCTATAGGTTGTCTCTAGACCAGGGGTCAGCAAACTTTTTCTGTACAGGGCCAGATGGTAAATATTTTTAGGCTTATGGTGATTTCTATTGCAGCTACTTAACTTTGCCACTGTAACACAAAACAGCCATAGGCAATACATAAACAAATGGGTATTGTTGTGTTCTATTGAAAGTTTATTTACAAAAAATAAGATAGGCTAGAGTTGGCCTGTGGACTGAAATTTGCTGACCCCTACTCTAATCCAAATAGGAAGAATTCTTATAAAAATTAGAACATTGAGACTAAAACAAGTCATGAATCTGCATAATACACAGTCTTTTAAATTGGTAAGAACTTCCTTCTTTCTAATCAACTTGTACTGTGACTTGACCACCTAAAATGTGTAATATAATAATTTCTAATAGAAACCTGAAGTAGAAATTTTAATAGATAAAAAATGATAGACCTTCTAAATTCATATTGCTATAAAACCAAAAAGTTAACACATGTTAAATATGTATAACAATAAACCTGAATTTTGAAATTAGTCTAACATGGCTGACAAATATCCTCTGTTTCGCCAGTGTTATTTAAAACTCCATAATGAATAAGACATATCTAATTAGAACATGATGTTAGCAATGGTCTTCTGGGGCAGGGAGCTAAGATAGCTTCTTTCTATTGTTTCCATGTAATTCCAGACTGGGCCTGGTTAGAGGGAAAGGATTCTGTGGCATTTGCCACAGTCTGCAAGGGAGAAAGTCACAGCCATAACCCTTCACTTTTCTGCCGGAACTTTTTCTCTGTCTTAGTAACAAATTGAGCAAATGTGTCCCTTGGTAGCATTTCTCGGGACAATAGGAAGGAAAGCAAGGGCTGACCATTCATACCTTTTTGGAAAATATTAAAAATACATATCATAGCCCAGGTTTCCAGGGACGTAATCTAGATTAGAACTGTATGCCTCTGTTTGGCAGTCGTCCACTTGAACAACTGAAATATTTGAGAAGCCTATGTTGGGCTGTGGTAGGAACTGGTCCCCTAAGCCTACATTTTTCTAACTTTCTTGACTATGACACACAGTAGGCAATACATTTGTCATTGCCACCCAATGCACTTACACATGCGTACAGGGTAACATTGAGTCTGTATGCACCAGTACAGCCATACTAGTTAAAATACTGAAAAACTTCCATGGTATGGGAAATAGCCACTTTCCCAACCCCCTCCCCAAGCTGCTTCTCCCATCTAGGACCTTTCAGAAACGTCCAGAGCTTGAGAGAACTTTGAGTTAAGGCTGTTAAATAGTTTTAATTTCACTCCACACACACACATATATATATGCACTTGTATATACATATATATGTTTCATAACTTAGCCTTATTATGTATGATGTATTCTCATATTTTCTATTTCACTTCTTTAAAATGTTGGTTGGAACTCAGGAATTGGCTTAAGGAGTTCCTACCATGGTTTGAAAAACACCACTCTAAGGTAATACTCTCTGAACATGCCCTTCCGACAACAAGACCGGGAGACAAGGTAGAAGAGGAACTTATCAAGAAAGGGAGGGGGTGGGAGAGCATTTTCTCATCTCCAAAATAGGGATAAGATGCATCTAGCTCGTAGAGTTGGTATAGGAATGTAAGAAAAAATAGTGAAATGATGTAAAGTTTGTATAGATCCTTTGGAAGCTGTAAAGCATTACATAAAGTATTACTGAATAAAAGCTAATAAAGTAGGGGGAGGTGCTGCCATAAGAAAGAAGGGAACATTGGTTGACCACTGATCCATTAAGTTATAAAAATAAAGTTTATTGAGATATAATTTGGAACTCTGTATGTTTTTTTTAATTAAATGATATTTGACCAAATGACAGTCTTTTAGACTACACCATCTCCAGAAGTTTCATATATAAAATTGTTCTTAATGTGCATTTTTATATACTAAAGGTGTTCGTAAAAACTAAGTCATTTGAACTTCAGGTCTATGTGTATTTTGAAAATACTGATTTTTTGTTTTTTAACTTTCAGCACTTTTGTGTGTCCAACTGAAATTATCGCCTTTGGTGATAGAATTGAAGAATTCAGATCTATAAATACTGAAGTGGTAGCATGCTCTGTTGATTCACAGTTTACCCATTTGGCCTGGTCAGTATCTTACACCTACATTTGTAGGGAAAAGAATGGATTTACTGTTAAATTATGGGCAGACAAGTCTTTAACATGATAGGAATATAGTTATTTATCAGATAATTCGTGAATAGATTTTTCTGAGAGCTGCTGGTTCAATGAAATTATGGTAAAAATGCTTAAGGATTTCATTAAACATTTCAAAATTTGAAAAGAAAAAGTTAAATGCAAAAGATGTAATATCCATAGCAAAAAACTACTGAATTGTATGGTTACTTTATATGATAAATTGGGAAACCATAATCTGGAGAAAAAAATCTTTAAAATACCATTTCTGTGTTACACAATTGTCTAGTGTTAAGTCAAATTCAAAATAGCTTTTGTAATTACTTTTCAAGAAGCAATGATGTTTTAAATTAATTTTTGAAATCATATAGAATTTATATAATTATATAAAAATTTATTTAAAAATTTAAAAAAAGTATTAAACATGAAAAGATGTTCCATGTAATTAATTGCAAAGAATTGCAAATTAAAATGATGAGATGCCATTTTTTCCCTGTCTGATTGGCCAAGATTTCAAATATTGAAAAATTTCATCCAGTCTTGACAAAGGTGGGAAGAAATGGCACTCTCACGCACACAGTTGGTTCAGCATTTCTGGAGAGCAGTTAGGCAACATGTTTCTAAATTTGAAATGTACATGTTGCTATGAGTTTTTGTGCACAAAATTTTATGCACAATAAAGATTGTTCAGAATTATTTTGGTTTTAAAACTTGTCAAGGCAAATAATCAATAGTCAATCTATAGATTAGAACAATAAAGTGATGTTTATCTGAGCCAAGTTGAGGACAAGCCCGGAAGAGCAGTCTCCATCAGGGAAGAAAGCACTCTGGAGAAGCGTGGTTTATAACGTGGATATATACCACTTCAGAACAAAGAACACACATCAAGCATGACAGGAATACAATTTTTTTTTCAAAGTCACAAGGAGATGTTTTGCTGCAGTTTAGCATGTACACAGCTGGTCAACTTGACCTGGGTTTTCTGGGAAGAAAAGCTTATCTTCCAAGAAGTACTGGTATTGGCATCAGAGGAAGGGAGACACTCATCCCTATCTTTAACAAGTGCATTCCTTGCTTTGGGAAAAGCAGATGTCTACTGCATGTTCGGTGGGCCGTAAGTCAGGCTGCTCTGGGAAAAACAAGTTTTAGGCCGAATCAGGTTTAATCCAGAATGGCTTCCCCATAGACTTCAATATGTGAAAACTTCTTCTTATTCTTACTATTTTCATCAAACGTAATATTCAATTCACTAAAGTAGCAAATTCAAAACAAGTTTTTCTCCATTTACAATTATTAATTAATTGGTTCAGGAGCTACAATTTAAACTTAATTTACATTCACTTAAGTAACTAGTTCTTTTAAGTATTTGAAAGTGCAGTTATATATTTAATATATTTGATTTCCTTTAAATATCTCAATTTTCAGACAAACCTTCCCAAGAACTTAAGTAATTCTTGCAAATACAATAAACAAATAGGGTGTCTTAAGTCCTTTTAAAATGTTTCTTTACTATTTATAAACTGAGTAAAATTTCAAATTATACATTTTGAATGGAATCACAAAGTGAATCTGTTATTCTAATATGCCAAATTCTCTTAAACATTATAAATAATATACATATACTGATTATTTCTTAATATAAAAATATTAAAACTATGGGTTTAATTTGCTTCATCATTTCTAAAGTAATTCTAAATCTTTGTAGGATTAAAATACAAATCCACTAAGGAAAAAGTTATGTCATCCCAAATAATTTGGGATTGCTTTCCCAAGGAATTTTTGGGGATACATTCTCAGCTGGATAGGTCTCATATTAACCAGAGATTTCTACTTGAATGTCAAAAGACATCTGCAGACATCTGGAGCAGTATTTCCCTGTTTTTTAGCTGCTGTCAGTCCCCTCCCATTAGGGCCCCAGCCCACATCCCCAGGTTTCAAGTTACAGAATACTTAAATATGAAGACTGATGAGTCTGAGATTATAACTTACTTCCTTCACTGCTTCAAATGGACTTTGCATTTCTTTGTCTCTCAGAACATTAAAATGTCATCCAGTTGTATTCTGCCTATCTCTCAAGCCTTTTTCTTGTGATCACCATTCTAAGGTTATGCTTATAACAGGGCATATCCTTTGATCCATCAATTCCCCTTCTAGGAATTAATCAGACAAGTGCATAAAGTTGAGAATGCAAAGATGTTTCCAGCAGTGTTTATAAAAGCAAAAAAAAATGGAAACAGTTTAAATGTCTATCACTAGAGATTAGTAAAATATAGTATGTCCATACATTAAAAATACGATGTGTATCTCTATATTTACACATTACACACATTGTGTGTTCATTCATTTTGTGTGCATGTGCAGAGAAAAAGCTGTTTTGATATCTGCCACTTAACTCTGAAGGTAAATGTTCTGTTTGTTACAGGATTAATACCCCTCGAAGACAGGGAGGACTTGGGCCAATAAGGATTCCACTTCTTTCAGATTTGACCCATCAGATCTCAAAGGACTATGGCGTATATCTGGAAGACTCAGGCCACACTCTTAGGTACCTTTCAGTAGTTTTACATTATGACAAATCCAAATATATGTGTAATCCTCCTTGAAATGGAGTTAGAAGATAGAAAGTTTGATCAAGAAATATTTGCTCTATTTGCAAAAATGTTATAGATACTATTTGAAATAATTGGGGAGTGCTTTACTTAAACTATGGGCGTGTCACAGACTGTTAGAGCTGGAAGATTATTTAGAGGTCTTTGACCAACTCTGTCATTTTACACCTAAACAGATTCATAGAGTTCATGAACTTAGGCAAAGTTATATAATTAGTTAATTGCAGAGCCAGACTTGAACCCAGGTCCCCAAACTCCTTGTCCATTTCTTTCTTCTCTTTTCCAAACTGACTCCAGAAATGGTTTTTCTAAATACAAGTGTCATCGTATTTAGCAAACCTGTGTCTTTGGAGTTGGAAAAATTAAGGGAATAATCAGCTTTATTGAGATATAATTCACATACCATACGACTCACCCATTTAAAGTATACAATTCAGTGATTTTTAGTATATTCACAGAGTTATGCAACCATCACCACAATCAATTTTAGAAAAGTTTCATTACTCAAAAAAAGAAACACCATACCCATTAGCAGTCACTCCCCATTTCCCCCTATTCCCCTCCCCTGGCCCTAAGTAACCACTCATCTACTTTCTGTTTTTATAGTTGCCTATTCTGGACATTTCATATAAATGGAATCCTACAATATGTGCTCTTTTCTGACTAGCCTCTTTCACTTAGCATGATATTTTCAAGGTTCATCCATATTGTATCATGTACACTACTGATAGTTTCTCTTTTTTTTTGTACTTGTCAAGTCTTTAATGTTTTCTACTTCCATAGAGTTTACTACTAAGTTAATTCGCAAAGAACAAATATGCCACTAAAAAGATCAAGGCAATCTTAAAATTTGGAATTGTTTGAACATTAACCAAGTAAAATTATCTAATATTAGCTATTTTATGTGATCTGAACCAATAGTTTGTTTTTTAAATTATTTTTTATTTTCATCAAAGTAGTACATGCACATAGGTTTTAAAAGTCAGATTGTCTTAAGCAACAGTCCCCTCCCGGCCCCCAGCCCTCCTCCTTGGAGGAAGCTACTTTCAACTCTTTAGCTACGGCTTTCACTATTTATCTCCATATTTCTAAAGAAGGTCTTATGCTTTGCCTGGATTTATCAATTTTGACATTATTCATAATGGTAAATAAGACTTTATCTTTCTTATGCCATCCCCAAATTTATTCTCCCAGTATAATATGTCACAATTTTGGATTAAGTTAATAGTTCATGTTTATATTATATAAATATTGTTTGCTTTTAAGCTCTTAAGTGTAGTGTGCTAAGAATTACATTCCCTATCTGGTAAACTTTTTGATTTTCTTGTAGCTAACAAACTACACTTTTTTCATTCCCTTAGTTTTCTATATATCCATCAGTAATTCTTTCTAAACCCCCCAGCTGAACTATAACCTTCTAAGTACTGCATTTTTCCTCTGTCAATTATCTTTTCTGGAATCTTCCATCTTCCTATTTCAGATCAGACCAGCCACTCTCTAAGTTGGCTATGTAGCTGTTATCCTAGCACTTTACGCACCAGAATCCTGGGACTTGCCTTCACTTCTCCTCTGTTAGATGCCTAATTCTCTGGCTCCCATGCCTGCCTTCTCTGTTTAATCCCTTGTTTTGGTGATGCACATCCTCACAGCTTTCTAATAAAAGGTCACTGGAAGGTAAAATGCTTGAGGCCCTCCCTGTCTGAAAATGTTTTATCTTGCTCTCGTGCTTGATTAATAATCTGGCTGAGTATCGAATTCTAGATTGAAAGGCATTTTCCTGCAGACATTTGAAAGCATTGCCCTCCTACCTTTAGCTGCTGGGGTTGATATTGAGATTTCTGTTGCCATTTTAATTTCTGATTTTTTTGTAAGAATGACCTGTCTCTTCTTATATTACACCAAGTATGGCAAATGTATTAGTCTCAAAGTCTACCAAAGAAGCAGTTCACAAAACCAAAACAGAAAACAGAAGCTAGAACTTGCTACCAAAGAAAAGGCAGATTTCTTTTTGTGGCTGTGTGTTGCTATGATATATGTGATAGAGGCAAGCTCATAATTCCAGATCATGCTCGCTTACTTCAAAGCAGATCTGATCGCCACTGACAAACTGTAAAAGTAGCTGCATGAAAGAACACCCAGATGAAGTAATTAACAGTTTTGCCCAAGTTTGGCTAAGGTGACCTTGTCCAAGGAGAGTGAGCCCTAGTTGATTCAGACTCAAGTTGCTCATTCAAAAAATGTATTCTAAGATAAGCAGAAACATTTTAGTAATGTTTAATACAATTATGAAACAAGATTTCATGTAACAGGTGTGAAATTCCATGTATTTCTACTAAAAATATATCTCATTATTATTTATAATACTTGTATACAAAGCAATTAGCCCCAGTACCTGAGGTCTTTTTCTAATCCAAAGTAAGGATTGGGTTGAAATCCATATTGACTTAAATAAATAGACAATAAAGTCCTTTGGAAATGTTCATCTGTAGTCTACTTTAACTTTGCAATGCCACCTCTATCTCAATAGCAGATCTTTTAGGTCAAACTACTTCATTATTCCTCAGTCCATAGAAGTGAATCAGACATACAGAGATTTAGAGGGAAAGGTAGCTTCACTTACATTGGTGACTTCATCTTTTTTCTACCACTGACAAAGGAAATACAAACAATTCTCAACAGCCAGTGATAAGAAAAATGGATCACTCCTTCACCCAGAAAAAAGCTTTGCTATGTAGTTTCATCATTTCATTTACAGTACCATAAAATCCCAAACTTAACTACACGTGAAGATAGAACTGTATATACTACAGTACATTTCATAGCCAAAAACAAATTTTTAAAGCTATTATTTAACAGTGATAATCCCAAATTATACAGTAGATGTGTAGGTATGGGGGTGTGTGCGCGCATGTGTGTGTATCAGTCAAGTAGGTAGGTAGTGTGGTGTGAATGGTACAAGGATTCACATTAATATTTGTCTTAACAGAGATGAAATAGCCTCACCTCTACTACTCTTGTGTTTTACAGAGGTCTCTTCATTATTGATGACAAAGGAATCCTAAGACAGATTACTCTGAATGACCTTCCTGTGGGGAGATCGGTAGATGAGACACTACGTTTGGTTCAAGCATTCCAGTACACCGACAAACATGGAGAAGGTAGCCTTTCCTTCCAAACTGCAGAGCCTTTTGATTTTTTAGTTTGAGAGAGAGCAGCATAATTAGTTTGGTTTCTTATCCTAAAAGTAATTTGGATGGTGCCAGAGTCTTCTGATTGATTGTTTTCAAATTATTAGCAGATCTTTTTAGCAGGTCAAATTATTATTTAAAGTGCTTTTAACAAAATATCACTAATATATTCTACTTACTGAATAAGATGCAAAAATATTCATTATTTGCATAGTCTTTTTGGATAAGCTCAAAGTGAAAAGTTTCTGCTACTGCAATTTTTCAAATTATGTTTCTGTAAACTTAAAATGTGCCAATCTGGCAATATTTAATAATGTAGGTTTTATTTGCATGTTTGCATTATTTGATTTAGCTTTTTTCCTCAAGGTTATTCAGTATCACCCTAGTAATGTATCAGTTCATCCTTTCATTCCAAGTTTTTGCAGTAGCTAAATGGAAAAGGTCAGATTTTGCTAAAGTACAACATATGTTATATATTCCTTTCAAAAGTGTAACTCAGTGCCTGGGTCAGGGTGCATTCTAAATCAAGGGGGAGTCCTATTTTCCAAATAATTTGAAAGTCTCTTTTGACAAACAGCAAACCATAGTATCAGTGCAAGATACTATAGGAAACAGCTGATTAGCTTAGTGAAAGTTTACGTAAATTCAGAGAAATTTTTGCTGTCCCCATACCTTTCAGTTCACCAGATTCCCAAACATTCCAACTATATTAGAGGAACGCTCGATTTGGTTTCTTATATTGCAAATGTAACTAAATATAACTGGCAAAAATGGACATAGATTAGCTGCCTGCTGATCAGCTCCATGACTAAAATTCCTTGGGGAGAGCAGACACGCTAACAGAAGTCAAGTGTTCAGTGGCCCAGAAGTGTTCTCATTAATATAGGCTCGATTTTCAGTTTCATTTAGAAAAAGAAAAGCCAAGAGTTGCTGAAGAGAACTGAACTCTGTTTTTAAACTGTCTTTTGCTAATTTTTGTTCCTTTCAGTCTGCCCTGCTGGCTGGAAACCTGGTAGTGAAACAGTAAGTCAAATTGATTTTTCTGTTAAGGGGATAGCTGGGGCCAAAAAAAAAATACTAACCTTAGGATAATCTTTCCTTGTAATAGAACTGTCTTCGTTTTGTAAATGAAGTAACTGTTGATAGGCAGAAATCATAAGCATACAGGCATTTTTTGGACTGTAGGGAGAGTAGCTGAAACTGGAGAAAGCAGAATATGGGGCTTAATGCTGTGAATTTTAAAGCCAAGTATCCAGAGAAATATACCAATAAAAAAAGGGAGTGGGAACAGTGGAGACTTGGTAGAATAAATTCAGAGGTCTCAGCGATCATCTATGGAATTTCTTCCTATATTGTAGGCAAAGAAAACAGTCAGAAGCAGAATCTTTCTGTGTATAGTAAAAAGCTTTTGAGGCGCTGGCCCCGTGGCCAAGTGGTTAAGTTTGCACACTCTGCTTCGGTGGCCCAGGGATCACCAGTTCAGATCCTGGGCACGGAGCTACACACCACTCATCAAGCCATGCTGTGGCAGCATCCCACATAAAAGCACTAGAACGACCTACAACTAGGATATACAACTATGTACTGGGGCCTTGGGGAGAAAACAAAAAGAGGAAGATTGGCGACAGATGTTAGCTCAAGGCCAGTCTTCCTCAACAACAAAAAAAAAGCTTTTGAGAAAATCTGGCTTAATTAACATTGAAGCTAATGATTCTCTCTGTCATTTGAAGAAAGAAAAGATTGAAACAGGTACATTCTTTCATTTATGGAGGCTGTATAACTTATAGACAATCCTTAAAGTAGTCTCTGGCCAAAATACAATTTGGAAACTTGCTTGAACCTTTTTTAAATAACATGTTTATCTTCTAAAAATCAAGAGTTTTACACAAACTGTAGTTAGGAAATGAAAAATACTAAAGCGTCAGAAGAAGAAATCATTATCTTAGAATAAAAGAAAAATATAGATTCCTAAGACTTTCTTCCTTAGCAAACCAAAAAAAAAGTGCCATTAGCCATAGACAATGAGAGGTAGAAATTCACTCTCTACACTCACTCAGGTCAGATAAAGTAACGTATCACTGGTTTTGAACCAGTTTTTGATGGATTTTCAAAACAGCTTTGCCTTTGCGGGTCAAAGTTAATGTTAAAATACCACCTTACTCACCTCTACGTGGATCTGATGGACCTCAGAAGGGATTTGAAGTTAGACATTCAAGGTACTTTGAGCACTAGGTACTTTAAATTATAAATTAGTCATTATGTTGGTTTACAGTTACTGATTGTGAGGCTTACAGATAGAAATATGAATCAGAAGCTGCAGGCATCACCTGAGAGAAGCCTTAGAAAGCATTTCTGGAGAGGTCTTCAAGGTAGGTGGCACTTCCCCCTGGAGCCAGAGCAGGACCAGCAGTGACTAATGAATAGCATCGCCCTCAGTCACAGGCCTGTGCTAAGAGATCAGCAAGAGCTCCCAAGAAATAAAGGCTAACTACGAAGGGTATTATAGGATGAGTAGCTTACATTTCAGAAAACATGTTGAATATCCACTTGATTAACCTTTGGGGGGCCACAAACCCCTTTGAGAGTCTGATGAAAACCTTGGATTCTCCCTCCATAAAAATGCACATGCGCTATCACATGCTGTGTTTGGGCATTCTTTTTTTTATTCCCAGCTTTATTGAGGTATAATTGACAAACAGAATTGCATATATTTAAGGAGTGCACTGTGATGATTTGACATATGTATACACTGTGAAATGATTACCACAGTCAGATTAACGAATCCATCACCTCACATAGTTACCTTTTTGTGTGTGTGGTGAGAAGGCTTAACATCTACTCTTTTAGCAAATTTCAAGTATACAAAAGAGCATTATTAACCACAGTCACCATGCTGTACATTAGATTCCCAGAACTTAACTCATCTGAAAACTGAAGGCTTGTACCCTTTGACCAGCGTCTCTCCATTTCCCCCACCCTCAGCCCCTGGCAGCCACCATTCTACTCTCTGTTTCTATGGGTGTTCTTTCAACAGACATTTCTTGAGCACCTGATATATGGCAACTATTAGGATAGCCAGGCGGTATTTATTAGTGAACACTATAGCCAAGGTCCCGGCCTTAAAGTCACATTCTCATTCTAATTTTAGATTGTGGCAAATGCTTTTAGAAACAGGTTGATGGGATAGTGCCTGGGGTGGGCATAAAGCGGTCAGAAAAGACTTCTAAGATGGCATTTGAGTTGAAACGTGAGTGAAGAGAGGGAGCCCGTCATGCATAGAGCAGTGAAGAAAGAGCAGGACAGAGGCCCCGAGGCCAGAACCAGCTTAGCATGTTCGAGGAACAGAAAGGGCTTCAGTGCGGCGGGAACAAAGGGAGCGACGAGGGATGGGATAGGGAGGCCAGTGTCGCATGGCGTGGAGAAGTGGACTGCAGTGCACTGACTGAGCCATGTGGAGTCATTAGTGACCATAGTGAGGGCAGGGGCTTGCCTGGAGTGCTCTGAGGAGGAGGGCGGGGCGGGATGAGGAGGAGATGGAGTATGAACAACTGGTTCCAGAAATACAGCTGTGAAGGGGAGAAGGAAAGAGGAGTTAGAGAGGGGAGATGTCGGGTCAGAAAAGGCTTTGTAGTCGTGCTTCTTTGAAGACAGATGAAGTTTTCATCTCCGTCTCCGTCCATTCTCTCCTGTGTATTGCACAGGCCTCCCTGCCCTCGGCTTCTCTCCTCTCCACTGCATGCCATTCTCCAAACCAGAACCTTTTGGAAGCTCTCCAGTACTCACAGGACAAAGGCCAGATACTTGGGCACAGCCTTCAAGCCTTTGCATTCTTTGTTCCCACCAGCCTCTCCTGGGCCATCTTCCCCATGATTCATGCACGCCGCTGTGCTCCCACCAAATCACGACTTATTTTTCCCCAAAATAAGCCCTGCTTTTTCATACCTTTGTGCCTTTGCTCAGGTGCCTATTCTTTCTATAGCCTAGAATACCTGTCCCCTTCTCTAATTCTGCTCATCTTTCAAGACCAACTGAGATGCCACCTCCACTCTGAGGCCTTCCCTGATGCCATCTTGGCCTCCATTGAGTCACACAGTCTGTGTCATACATGATCGTACTGTTCATTTGCGTCAAAAACAGTTATGTACACGGACATCCTCCCCACGTGTTTGTACGGCCTCACAGGCAGGGACTTTGGTAGTTATCCTTGTATCCCCACTGCCCAGCACACTATTGGCACATAGTACTTATTCCATAGTATTTGCAAATTGAATTTAAATGCAGAGAGATTATAAATTGGCAAAGACAGAATACTGCTTGAAGTGATGCCTGAAAAATTAGGTAACATTTATTTTATGCTGAAGAAAAATTCTGAAGAAAACATACAGAACTATCATAAGCTGATTACAGTAGGTTTTTTAATATATATATAGGGATAGATGTACTTTACCTATAACTGTGAAGTAACATAGTTAATGGGAGGTCAAATTATATTGGAAATTTCAAAAAACATCTCGTAGGTTTTTAAGGCTGTGATGCCCTAGGAGAGAGCATTTTTTCTTTCAGAGTATTTGTTCATTCACTAAATAGTTACAGAAGGTAATACTTTAGGGCGTATCTGAGGGTTTTTTACTTTGCAGTTTGAGATTAGAAGGGTTGCATTCTGGACCTCCAAAAAATCCACTTGAACACACTGCCCCTCTATCAGGTTTTTGTGGCATGCCAACATTTCATCAGCAGATGATTTTAAAAATAGATTAACATCTGTAGCCATGCTCTCATAACGTGTTCGATTTAATTAGATCAAACCTGAAGATGCCATGAAAGCCTGGTGGCCAAGAGAAGAGCTGTAAGTAAATTTTGGGGTGCTTGAGTACAGATGTTAATTTATTAAATTATTTTCCTTTTGGGATAGCTGAGATTAGCAGGTAGGACAAATCCAGTTTTTCAAATATATATATGTGATATAATTTGGTACACAAAAATGATCTTTATCTTCTTTACTCAAGAGATAGGCAACTAATGTCAGACTACTAATGATGTATATCAGCTTTTAAAATGAATAATTTGGTTTTTTTAACAGATAATCCCAGATCCAGCTGGAAAACTGAAGTATTTCGATAAACTGAACTGAGAAATACTTCCTCAAGTTATGATGCTTGAAAGTTCTCAATAAAGTTCACCGTTTTATTACCATATTGTGTTACAGTAGTAATTTCTTGGAGAATGTAAAAATCCATGTCAAGGTCCAAAGATATTTAGTGTTCAAGTTAGACACTGATGCCAAAAGATAGGCAATTATTCTCTTTCTGAAATAAGAAATGTCAGATTGAATCAAACTAATGATAACAGTGACTAACATTTATGGAGCACATGCCATCTGCCAGGCGTTGTGTTAGGCAGCGTAGCTGCATTGTTCCATTTAATCCTCACAGCAACTCTTTGAGTTCTTTATTTAACTGAAGCTCAGATAAATTACTTACCCAAAGTCACAGAGCTGGCGAGCAAAGGTAGAATCAGACTCTGAACCCAGACAGGCTAATTCTAGTTTCTGGGCTCCTAACACTCCACTGTGGCTCCCCTCTCTGTGCCTTTGAGGGTGGCAGGAGAGAATAAGCTGTGAGCATAGTCACCTTCCATGGTATCTGGTACGGACAGCTGACCCCAGAGCTCACTGCTGTGTACAACATAAAGCCCTTTGGAGGGGCCGACCCCGTGGCCGAGTGGTTAAGTTCGCGTGCTCCGCTTGGGCAGCCCGAGGTTTCGCTGGTTTGGATCCTGGGCGCGGACATGGCACCCCTTGTCAGGCCACGCTGAGGTGGCGTCCCACACGCCACAACTAGAAGGACCCACAACTGAAAAAATATACAACTATGTACTGGGGGGACTTAGGGAGAAAAAGCAGAAAATAAAGGAAGATTGGCAACCGTTGTTAGCTCAGGTGCCAATCTTTAAAAAGAAAAATCCCTTTGGACTGCCTCCCTTTTTCTCTAAATTCACGTTTTCAACTTGTACCAAATTTATAAGTAACAACTTATATGTTTACATGTATTTTAACAGAAGTTGAATCCCTAAACGTATGTAGCTAGCTCTTCACAAATGACCATATATAAAGCTCAACTCCAGTGCTACTTCACCCCATTCACCGCCCCAATATGGCAGTGACTTTATTGTAATTATCTATAGACGAGCCATGTGGTTAAGGGATGTGGTACTCGAGAATTTGCCTCATTCTGTCTTCCATGCTAATCCTCTCTCATCACTTGCAAAAAGCCCCTAACCCTGGGGGAAGCCGTCACTTGAACTGGGGGCATTATTACTGGCCTCTTGGCTGGAACTCTGAGTTCTGTCATAAATGGCACATGATTAGCAACAGGCATTTGGACATGGACATAGGAATCCAACTGCAACTTAGATCCCTTTGCTACAGCAAAATAGGCTCCAAGTGCTAGCTTACAGTTGAAATTTTAGAGGCCAACCTATTAGTAAAGTTGAAGACTGCTAGTACTTTGATGTTCAAATAGGTTTTGATAATCTTGTCAATACTTCCAATACAATTGGAATCCTATTCTCAGATTTTCTCTTTCCAATCTGAGAAGTACAGATTTTTCACTCATGAATAAGCCTGTATCTTTTTGATATAGTTTCCATTCTTTGAAGCTTTTCTAGCCTGACGTTCATTTTAAGTATGTTTACAAGGAGGACAGCTATTTTTAGATCCATTCAAAAAACCCAGTCAATGTTTCATTCAACATTCCGCAACTATTGATCACATACTCTAAACACTTAGCAAAATCAGTAACCAAAGACAAATTTCTGCCCTCAAGGAGCTTAGTATTTGATTACTGAAGCAGGTGCTGATAGTATAGTAATTTCTAGGTACCTAAGAATAAGTGAAAATACATCCTGACTTATGACTGTCATATTAACTGGGTAATGTAAATAGCCTATGAATAAAAAATAGCATTAAATGTACTCCTTCTCAGTGCCTTTTATAAACTCTCCCTTCCAAATAGCTGACTTCTGAAAGTCCACAGGTCCAAAATTATAAGGGTGATCTCATGTGGCCATTTACAGAAGACTGGGAAAAGAGTGTTCATAAAGGAGAGCCCTCTGCCCCGCTGGAGAGGGCGGGCCCCAGGCCTGACTGGCTGCAGCTACGGGAGACCTATTCCCGTAACACGCTGACCTGCCATAATCTACAGCAGTGCTTCCCAATCGGGGACCATTTGCCCTCAAGGGACGTTGTAATGTCTGGAGATGTTTTGGTTGTCACAGCTGTGGGACTGCTACTGGCATCTAGTGGGCAGATCAACATCCTACAGTGCACAGGACAGCCCCCACAACAATGAATGATCTGGCCCAAGATGTCAGTAGTGGTGAGGTTGAGAAACCCTTCTCTACAGCTGGCTGCCAACAGATTAAGGAAAAGAGGGGACCAGTATAGTTCAGTAGCTGCCTGTGCAGCAGGACAGACTGTCACATGGCAGTAGGAGCTTATCCAAAATAATAGGTCAGGGGGGACTCGAAATTTCTATGAAATACACCACACAACGTCTTTTCCATGCACTAATATATACATAACATCTATAACTCCCTGCTTCTCTTCAAGTTTCCGATCGTCTGTTGAGTATTTCCCAGTTAAGCCTTGCCAGTGTTCTGAGCTTTTCAGTGATTGAGGTGGACTGCTCTTTCAGGGACTTTTTAGTCCTCAGAATCTCATGCAAGGAATCATCCCCTGCTCCCATCACGTCTATTAAAGGGAGTAGGCTGCACTGTAACACTGTAACACAAAGACCACGAGATGGCGCCAGGCACACCGAAATTCCACAGCGACCTGCCATGTCCTGAGGCCCACCCCACTTTCAGGCTAAACTAAAAGAGCAACAACTAACTCTCAAATGGTTTGGTTTTTCATTTTTTCTTTTTTACAAATCCAATTTAGAGAAAAAAAGATGAAAAACAACTTAAAAATTCAGACCAATTCAAAACTAAGTATAACTCAAATAGGCATCTTAACTTCTGCTGAGTACCCCTTCCATTAGTGACCATGACCCAGTTAGAAGTACGTTTTACATCGTGACCTAGGACGTATGTAAATGTGTGTGTGTGCCATGCACATGCATAACAAGTTGAACACAACTGACCAATACTATGCATGATGCATTCTGACCTTTAATTTTTGTAATGTTGGCCACAACCCCACTTAATTTCATGATCCACTAATGGGTCATGTCATAGTTGTAAATACATATTTATATACATATAATCTTTTCTTACAAATATATATGATATAAATACATAGATAAAATCAGGTACAATAAATGCTTGGTATATCAAAACTTTGTCATGTGTAATTCTCATTTTACTTCCATATGGTTTTGTTCATTTGCTTTAGCCATACTATTCCTTCTATTAAAGGTGCACAATTTCTGTGACACAAAAACCAAAATACCCTTACCCTTTCTTTGGTTACTATAATCTTTTCTCTGTGGTATTAATTTCTCAATGCCTTTGGCTTACTGAATGGTTTTCAGAAGGGCCTGTTTTATTCTGAGGCTCCATTTTTTTTTTTAGCATTCACATCTTAAATAAGACTTGATTTTTAAATTGATATGTAATATATTCATTAAAACATTTCACTAACTGAACAGCTGAATCAAGTGAAGGAATATAGGCCTAAATCAGGGGACTGTGGAATGAGAAAAGTGCCTCTGCTTTCATGGAGAAAGAAACAGAACCTTAAGAGATGAACCCCCCACCCTACCCTCTGAACCAGCTGGCTGCAGGCGTAGGCAAGACCTCACAGGTGTGGACATTCAGGTCAGGACTGCTTCTCCCACATCACACTGCCTGCCAGAAACCCACCTGCTGGACCAAAGGACCCCCAAATCCACCTCAGATTGATCTCCTTAGATCAAAATAATCTCATGACACAACAGTTTCATCTAGAAGCAATGTGATTAACCAACCCTTAAATCCTTTTTGAACTTGCCAAATCTCTATTTTTAATTCCTCTTTCCTGTTACCTATTTTATAGTAATTTTGTATTGCCAAGGGGTAGAAAACATTCACAAGTCAATTTAGAGGGTCAATCACAAATGTAGCAAAAGTTTTATTCTAAGAGAGAATTAAAACAAATGCCAAACATATTTCAGCCATTCTCATGTCTTATGGTTGAGACCCGACTGTATTCTGATACATATATATATATAATCATTAGTTAATACTTTATCATAACAGCTGAGAAAATACGTATGGATTGTGGCAAAGGGCCAAGATTCTAGACCTAGTCCGGGTCTACTCCATCTATCTACAGTTACAGGGTGCGCTTTGGGAGGTTACTTTCCCTCTCTAAGCCTCACTTTCCTCATTTGCAAAATGTGGGTAATAATGGTACTGACCTCAAAGGGTGATTGTAAGGTTAAATGAGAAAATACATTTTGATGTCATTAGCCCAGTGCCTGACACCTAGTAAGAATCTGATATATGTTAGCTGTATATAAAAATTGTTCTATTTTGTGATGATGACATCTTGTAACTGACTTTCTGCCGAGTTTGTGCCACACTTCACTGACACACAAGTTGCGTGGGGTCCTATAACCAAATGGAGAATCCCTAGTTACTCCCAGTTGTTTTCATGTGAAAGCATCGATTGTGAGCTTGAGGCTCTTGCCCAGAAACAGAAATCGGTAACACAAACTTGTATTCTCCGTATGGAAATGGAGGCAAATCCTCCTGCTGCACTTCCTTTCGCCTCTCTCTTCTCATCTGTAAAGGGGCACAATGCTAAAATATTATTAGTCAGAATTTGTTGTAAAGTTAAACACCTTGTTACAAGCTAACAATTTATAAAACATCAGCGTGACAGCAAGCAATTATACTCCAAAGCAAGACTGCCAGCCCTTGCAAGCTGGAAGGGTCAGTCTGATCTAAAATGTCATCCTAAATTTGGATTTAAGAAACATAATACTAATATTTGATTCTTCATAGCAAAACAATTTACTCCTTGGACAGTATACTATACTGCCTGTTCATGTTACAGAATACAATATAGAGTATGATCCTAGCGTTGTAAAAGTTCTAAAAACTCCTGGTGTGTTCGATTGTTCATAGGTATTATGAACCCCAAAAAAAGGTCTCTGGTCAAATAAGTTTTACAAAAGCTAATACAATAAAGTTAAACAGGTGTTCTTCTGGGCCCTATTTTTCAGAGTCTTTTGTAAGCTGATACGCACTATAAAATACCAGAGGAGGGATGTCCTATGCAGTGTTTACCAATGTTATTTGTCGATAAAATGTTTGTGAAAGAGCATCTCACTAGCACTAGTGTCTGAGGAATTCACCCAGGAAAGAGAGCTGGACCCTTGGAATAACTCAGCCCCTTGCCATCCAGCCCTAGGCACCATCGCTTTTGGAAACTTTTTTCTTACCAGCGACCTCTCAATCATCCTGCTCATCTTTGACAACTTCCATGACACCACCGACCATTCCCTCCAAAAAAATGGCTTTGAGAGGCAGGAGGATGACATAATTGGGACCTGGGAATCTAGCCGGCTGCTCTTGGAGCCCTCGAGCCAACATTTAAGAAATCCAACCAGCCATCAGAGAGGCCTGGCCAACCCCCACCCACTCCAGCCACCCCAGCTGAGCTCCCAGCTGAACACAGCTGCCTGAGTGACTCCAGCCAATGCCACATGGAGCAGAACTTCCCAGGTGAGCCCCGCCATCCCACAAAACCAAATATGCCTTTAGAAAGAGAAAATATCTTTCTCTCTGCGCAAACTTATTGAAAAAAAAAATAAAATGAACTCCCTGGGGTGGAGGGGAGGACTTCAGTTCTTCGGGAATCAAGATCCTGGCTCTCTTCAAAGAGATGAGATAAAGCAGATCATATCATAGAGAATGCAGGTAGCAAAAGGAACATGTAGACAGAGTATTTGGCTTACCACAAGAAACAATCCACAGCGTCACATGGGCACACGACACAGTGCAAAGCATACTAGCGTGAACTCTTCTAAAGAAACCAATGAATGAACACACTCTCCTTGAAGACAGCCCATTGAAGAAATACCTAAGCAAAAGCTAAAAACTTGGTAATTAATGCCTCAAGTAAAACTGGCATATCTAAGCATGGACCATTCAATACAAAACCACGTCCAACCCACCTTAGGAAGTTCCATGCTAGACACGTAGCAGTGCTGGTACTGGATAAAAGTTCACTATTCCTTAAAGAGAGACAGAACACTAATTATCTAGAACTTACTATCCTCCATAGTTTGCTCCATCTCATCTTCTTAAAGTCCTGTATTAAAAATTAAAACCTCCAGTTCCTATTATGTAAAAACCTTTCTCAGTAGTTAGCAGGTTTTGAGTTAAGATTCTAATATCCAAAATTACTTGACCAGGTAATTCAAAAAGACAACAACCAATTTTTTAAGTTCAATCTCAGTAGAATTCAAAGAATGGCAATTAATGAATGTCGTTTTTCACCTATCAAAATGGCAAAGATGTTTTAAAAAGAAAAGGATAAAATCTGGCAAAGTTCAGAGAAACTGCTGATGAGTAAGTGAATGTGTGCAACTGTTCTGGAGAGTTATGTGATATACATACTCAAAGCCTTCAACATGTGCATACTATTTTGATCTAGATAACACTTCTCTACAATTTCCTAAGAAAATAATTTAAGGGTTAAATGTTTTAGCTATTTAGGATATTTACGGCAACACTGCTTGTAATAGCAAGAAAAGTTCTAGAAAAAGGTTCAGTGTGCAGCAATAAGTGGACAATGTATAATCTATACAACAGGATGCAGTAGGTCTGGTGTTAACTGAACTCTACTTAACACATTCAGACAACTCCCCAGGGCCCATCCCTTCCCGTTCACCACCTCAGGGACCCCACCGGGTTATAGGTAGATATGCAAAATGCTGTCGTGAAGGGCCAGAAGCTCGGGATGGAAGGAAGCACAGCGTGGGGGGACAAAGACTGAGGCGAGCGAGCTACTACAGTGCAGCACAGGCCGGACTCTGCGAGGCAAATGGCACACCTCGAGAGTAGCTGTGTTTGTTCCCATGACTCTTTATGCCAGAAGTGCTTGTCCATATTAACTGTGATTTCAATAAATATTAAACTGATATGGTTTTTTTTAAAAAGCACTCAGCTAATTCTGAGGCAGAGCCTAGTTTGTGACTGCTGAAGGAGAATCCACACTAAAGACTGCTCCCTTCCTGGGAGCACCTTTGCAGAGATGACTTTTCTCTTCTATGCAGCCTGGTTTCGGTCTCTTCTGAACTTGATCAGCTTCCCGTCGCATAAAGGAAGAAACTGTGTCTTGGCTGCAGACTCCTGGGAATAATTCCCTTTGTGTTCCAAGGCGACACCGTGATATGGGGGATAGGCTCCCTTGCTATATTCCCAGAAAGCAGTACTGTGTACTGGTCAAGAGTACCCAGGCCCCACACTGCCTGGTTCCAAATCCCAGCACCACCATGTACTTGCTGTGGAATCTTGAGCAAGTTACTTAACTTCTCTGTGCTTCAGTTTCCTGAGTGACCTAACCCTATGAAGGGGTTACAGAACTTACCTCACAATGTTGGTAGAAAACATAAATAAGCTAATAGATGTCACGTGCTTAGGACAGTGCCTTCCTAGCCCGTGGCCAGTGCTCCACAGACGTAAGCAGCTGTTATTATCACTGTTGTTGTTTTTAACCAGATATACCCTGCCCAGCCCCTAGCAAGTGTGCTGACGAGCTCTCCGGCGAATGAAAGAATGAACCCGTGGTCCTGTGTGTCCTCATCTACATCATCTCCGAACACCCTCTTGGTATGGCTTTCGATCTAAGGCTTCCCACAGATCTCTCCAAATGCCCTATCTTTTGTCGAATCCCTTCACCCCAACCTTTCATCTACCCTCCCTGACAACAAAAGCCGGGAAATAGAGGGAGGCAAAATACAAAGGAATCACGTAGGGCTGATGAGATTCAGACAACACAGGGGAAGTGCAGCGAAGGTCAGGCTTAAAGAACGCCCTCCAAATGCCTTGGCAGGAAACTGCGTATGTTGAGTTTTCCAAACGGATAAAAAGCATTCTGCACTAAATTCTTTGGCAGACAGGAGGCAACAAGGTAGGTTCACAATTTAAATGATTTTAAAAGTATTTATTATTTAATAACTTTCTCCTTCTGCCCCACCCACCTGGCCACTCTCTTGTGTTGCGTTTCTGATCATCCTAAAAGCTGAATATATTCTTCTCTATGGAGGATGAGAATAAACACGAAAACCGAAACACTTGGTCAGGCCTTCATCAGGACTAGGTCACTGTGGAGTGCTGGTCTTCAACAAGCGCGGTTTTCCTAGGGCTCCACAAGGAAGTCCTTTCTCAAGTTCACCGGTACACTCATGGAGTTGAAATGCCGCTGCCCATCTAAATACAACATGGACTCTGAAACACAAGAGAGAGAACCATGGAGAAACTCGCAGCAGCTTAGAGACTGTCATCCAAACACATGACCAAGGTGTGCGCAAAGTTCTCACATGAGTGGGCCTCAATTCCCGCCCCTTTCCTTCGGCTGGACCTTTCTGTGACCACCAGAGGCTGCATGCCGCTGGCACCAGACCTTGAGACAACAGCCAGGTGGGCAGAGCAGCAACAGCTGCCTGCAGCCCATGAGGCATCCTGGCCCTCAGGGCTGCAGAAGCTCAAAAGCACAATCTCCTAAAGACATGCTCTCGAGCTAACCACATCGGTGTACTTCCTACAACAATTTAAAAGGAGAAAAAGTTCTTTAAAAGTTCTTCCCTTCATTAGGGACAAGCAGATGCTGCTGCTTACCTCCATATGTTCTGGGGCAAACCAAGGGCACTTCTTTTTCCGACATGAACGTGAAATGAAAGACATTGGTGGTCGTATGCTCTTTATTCTGGAGAGAGGCCACTTCACTGTGTACTCTGACTTGAATGTAATTGCCCTGAGTAAAGCACACCTAAGAGATCACAGACACAGTAGTCAGTCGACTGCATTAGGAAGGGGGAAAAAGGTAGTCATAAGAGAAACAGTGACTTTAGAAATAAAAACTTCTCTTCTAGGCCCAAATGATAAAAAATTGTATTTCGTCTCTCACTGCACACCTACCTGCGAAGAAAGAAACAGCAGTGATCCAACCTCAACAGGCTTCTGAAACATGATATCATCCACTGCTACCACAAACGGTCGGGAGCCACTGTTGGGGAGAGGCAGAACGTGGGGTCACCTGCACAATTCAGATGACGTCTATTTTTTCCCTAACAATCAGCTGAAGCAGAGTTTAAATGATCAAATAATAAACCTAGAGAAGGGAGGAATAATCATACCAGTGAGGAATAGTAAGAGATGCCACGGTGACCACACCAGTGCCAAAATCACTGTATCTTTTCCGGTCTGCATATCATCACCTCCTTTTCTCAGGAGGTCTTTAATGTACTAACTTAGAAAGTCAGAGCAAGAGCCTTCACAATGAAGATCAAACCCAGCTGGCATCAGTGTGCTATTTATTTAAAACCACAGCATATTCCGCGACACAGCCAGACTGGTCCAAAATGTCTCATTCCGATGGGGCAGTATAAACTGCTTCTCAAAAGGTAAGACGACCTTAAATCTAACTCACCCAAAGTTACAAGCAGTCGCCCATCCAAGTTCATATGCTTTCCTCATGAGGAAACCGCCAAAGATCCGATTAAAAATGTTCCTCTCCTTTGGACATAAAACAGATATTAACAAATATCAGCTCATGGCCACCCTCATATACAGAACAAAGGAACTAACAATGCCATACAACACAGGTGAGTTTTAGGTGCGTCAAACCTTAGGTGAGGACCATGAATGCAAGTTATCCTATTGAGAAGATTTTTCACTCAATTATGATACCTGAGGGTGGCAAATTTCCAAGCTCTTCAGTTTTGAATTCTCCATCCACATTGCATTAGGAGGCAAAATTCGACTTCGAAAACTTATAGTCCTGCACAAATGGAGATTCAGTAAACCCTGTTAATGTCGCGGTGTCGCTGCTGACAAGTAAAACATTCACAAACAACTTCCACTATGTTCAGGCAGGTGTGGCTCTGGAAAAGGCCAAGGTTCAAATGCTTTCCGGACCTGGAATCTTACCATCCTAACTTACTTTGGATCCAGCGTGCTAAGAAACATCTCATGTATGGTCGTCCTCTCCTCAGCACTGGGAGCCATTTTCAGTAACGACGTGGAGCTGAAGGCAACCCTTCTCCCCTTGTTCACTGGAACACAGGACAACAAGCAGCTACGATCAGGAGGGTCACACTATAGCACTGGGTTCCTGACCTGGGCCGCCCTGGACCCTACAAAGGCAGTATTTCCAGATTTTAAAAGCCCCCTGGAAATTGTACATATATCCCAGAGAAGGCTGCCAAGGTCACAGCAAACGTCCAGGGATTCTTTGCTTCCAGCTGGAAATTGTATCGGCTCAGTGTGAGACCACTTCTAATCATCCCCACCTAGAGCCCTGACCAGCAGGTATTTCATTAGGAAACACTTCCCATTTCATTAAAAATGAGAAAACAATTACTTCACTTAATAACTATTGTCTGATCAATAAAATTGTTCAGAGTATGGACTCTGCAACAAAAAATAAGGTATTTTTAATTTCAATAAATTCTTGGCATGAGCAAGACACTTGACTGGTATGAGGAGTCCGCACATACTCTTAAAAAATCTCCTCTGCAGTACAGTTAATGTGCTTTTTAAATCATATCTTATTATAAACAAATTAATATACATTCTCCTTGTCTAAAGAGCTCTTCTTCCTCTGGGCTTTCAGGGATGAGCGGATTTACAAATGCAGGCCTAAAGAGAAGAAAAGAATACAGTTTACAATGTGCCCTTACCTTATAAAAATGGAAGATGAACAATTACCCACTAGTTTTAAAGTCTTTGCTGTTAGTTTTGGGTAATGCTTACTGACTGCTTCACACACAAACTCTGGAAGAATAAGGGGAGCCTTCTGGTGACAGACTTACCTGTACACTAGAAAGTTCACATTATAAAAAGGATGCTGCTGCTTGCCAAAATGTTTCATCTAATTCTAATAATGAGGAAACAGTCAAAAATAGGTTGTAGAACATTCTACAAGACAATTGGCCTGGACTCTTCAAAAATGTCATGTCTTAAAAGACAGAAAATGGCAGGGGGACTATTTTAAAGGAACATGATCACCGCATGCAATACGTGATCCTTAATTGGATCCTGACTCAGGGGAAAAGGCTATAAAGGATATTTTAGGAAGAACTGGCAAAGTTTGAATATGGATTGTATATTAGATAATATAATTGTATCACTGTTAAATTTCTTGGCTGTAATAAAAGCATTGAGGTTATGTAGGGGATTACCTTATTCTTAGGATATACATGCTGACCTGTTTAGGAGTGAAATCTCAAACTCACTTTCAAATGATTCAGGGAAAAAATACGTATATGTGTGTATTTATAGAGAGGTAGTAAGAGAATAAGGCTGGTGGTAAAATGTTAATTGGTGAATTCAGATGAAAGGTATATGGGTGTTCATTGTGTTACTCTACTTTTCTATAGGTGTCAAATTTTTCAAAATAAAAAACTGAGATAAAAGGGATAGTACTTCACTGTGGTAAAATCCAAAGGTTTGATGAAACAACAATAGAAACAAAAGAACTGAAATGGCAGCTTAGAAAATTGAAATGCATCAGCTGGGAGAGAAACTTCAAGTAATGCTCCCCACCCCCACCCCCGGGGCTGGAAAAGGAGCCCTAGGCCAGCCACTAGGAGCAGCAGGTCAGTTGGGGCTGGTGGGAAGAGCTCGAGGAGATGGGTATATTCTTTGCTCAGATCAGAGTTAGCTAGGTATTTTTTTATCTTAACTTCGTTTTCCAAGTCAGCTTTCCATGTAGCAGAAAAGATTTTTCATTGTAGACTTCTAACTCATTTCTTTTTTTTTTTTTGGTGAGGAAGATTCACACTGAGCTAACATCCATTGCCAATCTTCCTCTTTTTTTGCTTGAGGAAGGCTAGCCCTGAGCTAACATCTGTGCCAATCTTCCTCTATTTTGTATGTGGGATGCCTCCACAGCATGGCTGATGAGTGGTGTAGGTCCACGCCCAGGATCCGAACCTGCAAACCCGGGCCACCAAAGCAGAGCATGTGGAACTTTAACCACTCGGCCACAGGCTGGCCCCCATAACTAAAATTTCTAATACAAATTAGACCTCCCATAGGCCTCTAGACTCTGTCCTGTACGAACAGCAGTCCTGTAACATTCCCTCCCACCCCACTTTCACAGTTAGACAGTTTTTCTCAGTTTGAATGCCTTGGGTCTAACTCTTGTTAGGAACCAAGAATTTAATTTAAGAGAAAAAAGATAAAGTATAAAGCCAAATAAGTTAAAGTCTGTATAGTTAAATCTGACTTGAAAATGACAGTAAAATTCATAAGGTTGTCTGTTTGCTTTATAACATACATGCTAGCTCTGTCCACTGAAAACACCTAGAAACAAGGACAAACTAGTAACAATGTACAGCTCTAGTGCCCAGATTTGGGTCTCTGAAGACAAGTTCCCTCTAAAAGGAACCCCAGGACTCCTTGCAGAAATGGCTGACTCAAGGCCTGGGGCAGAAATGTCTAAGATGTGCCCAAGACATTTTGTTGCTCCAGAGAGCAGGAAGGTATTAAAGACTAAAGGGGAAATATGTCAGAAGAGCTTATTACGGAAGCCAGCTTAAAAGAGCTCCCACTGACCAAAGACGGGAAACTCTGAGCATCAAGAATAACCATAGCTGCAATTTACTGAAATACGTGCACTATATTAAAATCCATGAATTCACAATGATACTTTTTTAAAAAGCCAAAAAAGTAGAAAAACCATGTCATCACTAGATAGTAACCCAACTTGTTATTCTGAAAATGTGTACATAAAGAGCAAGAATGAAACATTAATCCTGCCTTTCCTCTATAAACCAAACTGCCCTAATTGGTAAGGGAAAGCTCTTCTTTACAGAACTCTAGCTAACAAATATAGAAGGAATGACAGAATTTGAGAATCATTTTACACCTCCTAATGATGAGAGCAATGTTCAGCAATGGACATTAAAGCACTAGAGAAAGACTGATGGGGAACCAGCTATTTGCACGATGACAAAGTGTACTTTGGATACACCCTGCACTGTACTACACCCTGTAGATTATTGCTGATCATAAGAGGATAAACTGAACTTTACAATGGGAAGGTCAGTCTGTCACTACTTGAAGCCAAGCATCAATCTTAGCATCACTATGAGTGAGACGATCTATACCTCCCGATATGATGCAATATGAGACACGAGATACATAGACAGCATCATCTACAAAGTGCTCTCGGCCAATTATATTGAACCTGAATCTAATCAAGGCTTTAGATCTAACTTCAGCTGACAGAAAATACTAGGGATAGAGAAATTAAGTCAAAAAAAAATACCATGAGGATGCAATGAGACAAATCCAGAAAGTTGGACATTATATATAGAAGAACCTACCTGGTCTTTCAATGAGTTAATGATACGAAACAATAAGGGAGCAGTGGAGACACACAGCTATTCTGGATTAAAACAGCCTTAAGAGATCACACAACTCTGTGAAAACACTAAAAGCCATTACATTGTATACTTTCAATGGGTGAATTGTATGGTATGGGAATTATATATCAATAAAGCTATTAACAAAAAAAAACAGGCTTAAGTGGGGCCGTCCCAGGGCCAAGTGGTTAAGTTCGCGTGCTCCGCTTCGATGGCCCAGGGTTTTGCCAGTTCGGATCCTTGGGCATGGACATGGCACCGCTCATCAAGCCACGCTGAGACAGCGTCCCACATGCCACAACTAGAAAGACCCACAACTAAAAATATACAACTATGTACCCAGGGGCTTTGAGGAGAAAAAGGAAAAATAAAATCTTAAAAAAAAAAAAAAAAACAGGCTTAAGAGACATAAAAATCAAATGTAATATGTGGACCTTGTTTGGATCCTGATTTGAACAAATCATTAAAACGATATTTGGGGAAAACTGAATGAACTATTAGAATCTATTAAAAACTTATTATTTTTGTTAGGCATGCTAATGGTAATGTAGTTATTTAAGAAAATATCCTCATTTTTAGAGAGATGCCTATATAAAGTATTTAGAGATGAAATGTCATTATGTCTGGGATTTGCTTTAAAACATTATAAAGAAAATGATATACTTAAAAAAACGATGAAGCAAATATGGCAAAAATGTTAAATCTCAAGTCTAGGGGATGGGTATATGAAAATTCATTATAGTCTTCTCTCCAGTGTTACGTATCTTTGAAATTTTTCAAAATAAGGAATTAGGAAAATACAGCAATTACCCTTTATTTTCAGAATCACGAGCCACCATTACAAATGTTGCATCCAAAACAGGACAAAATTCATTGCCATGTAACTAAAGAACAAAGGAAAGAAAACACAAATGTAAGAAATGCATTTATGGGAAGGCCTACTTCAATGCTAACAGATATCCTGCATGCTTTGAGAAAGGCTGAAATTAGAAAAAGAGAAGGGCATTCATTAACCACCATCTGCTGAGTTGCCCACCCTGAGTTGCCAGGCACAGAACTAGGCTCTGGGTGGAAATGGTAGCATGACCAAGGAGCCTGTGATCTAGCAGAGGAGAAAGACACTCAAATATCCAAATGGTGCACTGTGCAAGAAATGCTAGGACAGACACAAACTATAGGCTTTAGAGCTGTGCATGACTGGGACCCAAAGGCAAGGGTCACAAAGGGATCTTCTGCAGCATCATCATTTAACTGTCGGCATATGCAGAATTCTGGCTTTCTTCAGGCCTACCTGTCCTCATGATGGCCCATGTAGCCAGGTGGACCTCCAGTAGCTCTCACTGACATTAGTATTTTCAGGGAACTTTATTGTGCCAACTGCCAGCACATGTTTATGTCTCCTTAGTCAACCACAGGGGCTCCCAAGAAGGGATAAAATCAGTGATAATTCTGTGGATTAAGCTATATATTTACAAGGCACAAGCCTTTGAGGTTTTAAGGTGTTTATCCTCCCGAAGCCTGTACTTCCAGGAAAGTCATATCAAAGTCTTATCATAACCCGAAGGTATATTCAGTCCCCTTCTCAACAAACCTCATCGCTAGTCTCCACCACTACTGCCTGCTCAGGCCCCATATCGCCTTCCCCCTCGACTTTCTCCTATTTTCTGGTCTAAGCCTGTTGGCACTGTATATAAAGTGCTCCACAACAGAGCCCAGATTCCTCTCTAGTTGCTCACCAAACACTCCCCTCAGACCTGCACCTTTTTCCCTAGCCACAGCTAACGACTTGGAGGTCCTGGAACATACTATGCTGTCGCACACCTCCCTCCACGCCTTTGTCTGATACCTTCCTCACAGCCCATTCCTCAAGACACTCTTCCCCTCCCTGCCCCACCGCTACACCCCAGGCGGAGCTCATCATTCCCTCCTTTGTTGGCCACCTAAATGGAAACAAAGTCCTCCCCCGACAGTGGTTCTCAATCTAGGAGTGGTGGCTACCACCCCAGTAGGGGGCATCTGGAAATGTGTAGGGATGGTTTTGGTTGTCCTATGACTTGGGTGACACTCCTAACACGAGCAGGGGTAACTAGGGAGCTAAATGCCTTGAAGGGCATGGGACAGTCTTGCAGAAAAAAGAATCTTCCCACATACAGCGCCAATAGTGTCCCTGTTGAGAAATACTGCATAATACTTAATATCGGATAATCATTTATTTACATGGCTGCCTCCCTATTATTGCACTGTGAGCTCCCTAAGGACAAATACCATTTTTATTCACATTTGTATCCCTAGCACTTAGCACAAAGACTGGAAGCTGGCAGATACCCGATCAATGACTGCCAATGAATGAACTGAGGCAGGTAACTATTGAGCACTACTAGAATGCAAACTCCAGAGAATGGAGCTTTCTCTGTGTTGCTCACTGCTGTATACCTAGCACAGAACAGGTACTCGATAAATAACTGCTAAGTTAAATGAGTTGATGGCAGGGGGCAAGCTAGGTGACTCACACCCAGATCCTATTATTGAGAAGCACATAGTCTAGTGGAGGAGAAAAGACATGCTTATATGCAGCTCTGTGGGACAGAAATCAGGTGCCAGTAGAGAGGGTCAGAGAACAGGTACTGAGGAAGGAGTCATGGGGAGGGAACAGGTACTATGAGATGGGAGGGTCAGGGAAGGATTCGAGCATGAACTGACCCAGAAGCACAGGTGGAATGTGGACATGCAGAGGCAGGGCACAAGGATTTCAGGCAAAGGAAAAAGGATAAGCAATGATACTCATCCACTGACTTAATGCTTAAATTATGGTTTATTATAATGAACATCAACTAGTGCCAAGCATCGGGAATGCAAAGATGAACAACTCCCTACTCTTGGGATGCTCAAAGTGCCCAGCGGTGAGCTCTAGGAAGGTATATAAATGGTAATGGGAGGAAATATAGTTGGAAAGGTAGATTGGAGCTAGTTTACAGAGCACTTTGGATCTTAACTAGTCAAAGGAGTTTAGACTTTAATCCACAGATAATGGTCACTGAAGGGTTTTGAGAAGGGGAGTGATGTGATTTAAGATCGGCTTTGGGAAGATCTATTTGGTAAAAATGTGTAAAATTAACCGAAAGAGAACAGACTAGAGGCAGGCAGCCTAAATAAAAGGCAGCTAAGGTACTCATACAAGAGGCAGTGAGGACGTGAATGAAATACAGAGGCCAAGGGGATGGGGAAGAAAGGACCCTTGTGAGTTACTGTGGGTGATGAATTTGCAGGACTTGGCAAAAGGCTGCACAGGAAAGGGAAAAATTAAAGCTATCACAAAGGTTTGGAGCTGGGCGAAACCAGAGGAGGCTCAGGATTGGAAAGGAAGCTGATGCCCTCAGTTTGGAACACACTGGACTTGAGGTAGCAAGCGCATATGCAGGCAGAGAGCTACAACAGGCACTCAGAAAGGTGAGTCTGAAGGTCAAGCCTAGAAGAGAGATTTGGGACCATCTCAATAGTAATGAGAATAAACTAACATAGTGCCAACATTTGACTAGTGGTTACTGTGTGACAGGCACAGTACTTCATATGACAGGGCTGTTTTTTTCATTTCACCCTTACCACCCCATTTAACGTGGTATTCTTACTGTTTCCATGCTACACTTGAGAAAACAGAGGCTCAGAGAAGGTAAGTAATTCACCCACAGTCACACAGCTAATAAGCAGCAGAGCTGGGATTTGAACTTGTGTGCGCCCACACCAGAGGCAGGGCACTTATCGCCAAGTTCCCTCTCTGGACTAGGAAGGGTCACTCAAGTCATGAGTTATGAGTCCAAATGGCCAATGAGAAATGCAAATTTAAAACAAAAGTGTGTACTTGTCTAACAGTGGTTTTCATTGGCTTTCCCCTCCCAAAAATTTCTGTATCTCTTTTTCAACCTATTTGTCCAAGATTCAAATTGTCAAGATTCCCTAGAAAGTAGGTCCTATGCCAGAAATCTGCTGTGCATGGCACTCAACAGGCTAGGAATCAACCACGAATCTTAAGAAAGAATGTGGACAAACCATAGCAGCATCTCCAACAACTTTCTTCTGTTTTGTTTTAAAACCAGTACTACTGCCAGTTACAGCAACATGGGAGTTAACTATTTTGACAAATAACTTTTACTGCAGAACAAGCTTCAGACTTTTCCCAAAAGGTGAAACTTCCTAATTCCATAACAGAAAAAATGTATCTGAATAACGGGCCTGCTAAATACACTGGCGTAGCTGAATAAGTTATTCTTAAATAAGTTTTCACAATGAAATCTTGGACATACCCTGAATTATTTGATTTCTGTGCTAATATCTTCTTTGAGGTACCTTTTCTTTTCAATTTCTTCAATTTCTTTATAATAGCTATTCTGAGCTGTGCTCACTAGAGGGACTGTTCCTAACTGCTGCAATAGTCTAAGTGACTATTATGGTTTGAACTGTGTTGCTCAAAAAGGCATGCTGAGGTCCTAACCCTCAGTATCTTTGAACGTGACTTTATGTATTTGGAAATAGAGTTGGTGCAGATATAATCAGTTAAGATGAGGTCATACTAGAGCAGGGTGGGCCCTTAATCCAATATATCAGTGTCCTTAGAAGAAGAGAAGAGACACAAAGACACACAAGGGACAATGCCATTCGATCCTGGAGGCCAGAGACCAAAGTGCTGCAGCTGCAAGCCCAGGAGCACCAAGGATCACCAGCAAGCCACCAGGAGCTAGAAAGAAGCCAGAAAGGATTCTCCCCTACAGCTTGCAGAGGGAGCGTGGCCTGCCCAGACCCTGATTTTGGACTTCTAGCCTCCAAACTGTGAGACGATTAATTTCTGTTGTTTTAAGCCACCTCATTTGTGGGACTTTGTTACAGCAGCCCCAGGAAACTAACACAGTGATCAATCCCATTCATGCTTAACATAACTCAGACTTTCGTGAAATTCTCGGGGGCCAAACCACAAATAAACACCTTAACATGGAGCTGTATGTTGATTTGAAAGTAATAAACACCAAATAACATGTCAGTCTTTGTCCAGGAGGAGGATATTAGCAACCTATCATCTATATGACATGAACTTTCAATTGTTTTTCTAGAAGTGGTGAGCTATATACCTGTCTACGGAAAGACAGGTAAATAAGCTTTTCTTTCACTGAGTCTAGCTGGTTGTATTGGAACAAGTGGCAATCTTTGGGGGCATACGCACCTGGAACATTCGCATCTTCACTTCCATGGAAGTCTTCCCAACCCAGCTCACATGGCCACTGAACTTGATGTCCTGTTCTGGGCTTAAGTTCTTCTTACACAAATCTGCAAAACAGAAAATCAATCTGAGTCCAAACTATAGCCAAAATTTTCTGTACTGTAAATGGACAATTTCATTTGAAATTTTGGCAAATTCCACTACAGTTTTTTTTTAGGGGAAATCCTTGAGTTTTGTGTACTTTTTTTTTTAAAGATTGGCACCTAACGACTGTTGCCAATCTTCTTCTTTTTTTTTTCTTCTTCTCCCCAAAGCCCCCCAGTACATAGTTGTCTATTCTAGTTTGAGTGCCTCTGGTTGTGCTATGTGGGATGCTGCCTCAACATGGCCTGACGAGCGGTGCCATGTCCACGCCCAGGATCCAAATAGGCGAACCCCCGGGCTGCCAAAGCCAAGTACGCAAACTTAACCACTCAGCAACAGGGCCAGCGCCCCACTACATTTCTTTTTTGTCTTCAAAACTAATTTTTTTGACATCCAAAAGAAATTTGTATGTCTTTTTGAAAAATGTAGACAATGCAAAGAAAATAAAAAATAAAACTGGAATCATGCAAAACCCTTTCAACCAAAGATAATTATAACAAATATCTTGGTATATAGCATTTTACACATTTTCATATGCATATATACATAAAAATTCCCCATAAAAGGAGAATATTCCCTCTAATCTCAATAATATCTTATAATTACTAAGAATTCTAAGTATGCATAGAAAATAATATCACTTACCAATCTTGTCCACCAGGGCTGTAACTATTGATAAAGGAGACATCTTAGCTGAATGAATTCTGGTGTGCATGTAGCAAACAAGAACTGTAAAAAAATAGAAGAGAACCAAATATAGGAAAAGTAAAATTATTTCTCAACATTTACAATTTACTCCCTGAAATCCATAAAAAGTCTGATCTTGTTTGGAAGACCTAACCCTCCATATCCCACTAGTGATCTCATCCGGGGACCAGAGACATTGAAGAGTTTTAGAGATCCCCCAATATGACTGCCCCCTCAATTTTAGATTTGGTGAGGAAACTGAAGCCCAAAGCCCCGACCCACCAGGATAGCTTGTCACCACTCTGCAGAGACACAGTACCTAAATGAGAAAAAGACCTAGCATGAGCCTGATGGCATCAAACAGCTTCAGAAAAGAGAACCAAATCACAAGGACTCAGTTACCTGTTTTCCTCCTGACTTTCCTAATCATGAAGCAATTATTTCACTCAGAGCTATCCTCCTTCCCCATAATCTTCAGCTCCTACACCACTCAGTGGTTATCTCTATACTTCCATATTTTAACAAGCATTTATATGCATCAAGCACAGTTATATGCACCTGACGAATATCACGTCATTTAAAGTTACATTATACTTTTGTGTTTAGTGGCCTCCCTACTTCCCCCAAGATTCTTCCAAATTTGTATCATCAACCCTCAGGACAGGGTCTGTGCTCAATAAATATTTGTTGAGTGACAATAAGTCCTTCAATCCACACACCCGCTAAAGGATGTACTAAGGGTATGAGAGGCTAAAGCCAAGAAATGCCATTTAAAAGACTTTGTGGTATCCAGACAAGAAATCATATGCATCTAACTGATGGCAATATTAGTGGAAATGAAGAGAAAAGATTCAAGAGCTAAGAAAAAGGTAGACTTGACTAGACTTAAATAAACCCAGGCTTCTAGCTTGCATGAGTGAAGATAATGTACCATTCACTGAAAAAGGGAACACAGGAAGAGCAGAACGGGCTGTTTTCAACATGTTGAATTCAAGAAGCCTATGGCATATCCAAATGAAGATGTCCAGAAGGCAGGAGGACAAATTGGTCTTGAACTCAGAAAAGCAGGTCAGAAATGTAGTTTCACAAGTATTTCACATACTGACAGCACTGGGAGTAGATGAGATTTACAGAGAAGGTGCAGATAACCCCCCAAAAAAGAGCAGAAGACAAAACCCTGGGGATAACTGACATTTAAGGGGTCAATAGAGAAAGAGGAACCTACAAAGGAGAGTGGGAAGCAGCAAACAGAGAGGCAGGAGGAAATGTCACCAAAGCCCAAGGATGGGTTCGACAACATCAGGAGCCATAAAGAGCTCAGGAAAGCCCTGAGAAGTATCATTGGATGGTGCAATAAGGGAGCCAATGGTCAGCTTAGCAAGAGCAGTTCAATGGCATGGTGGAGCAGACCAGAACAGGAGGCTGGGAAATAACAGAAGGTCAAGATAGAGAGGCAATGAGAGCGAATAATTTCTTCCAATTCTTTCCAGAAAGTTAGCTCTGAAGTGAGGGGGGGGAAAACCAGTTTGAGAATGGTATAAGGGAATGGGATTTTACCTATTTTTCATTTTAAGATGGAAGAGACTTGAATATGTTTATAAGTTGAGGGAAAAGTGAAGCTGAGAAAAGGCTTGAGAAATAAGGGAGAAAACATACATGATAAGGCAAGATCCTTAAGAAATGAAAGGAACAGAATCAACTGAACAGGTGACAGAGATTGGCCATCAACAGGAGGTAATGAGGACAAAAACAAGGTAGTGGCAGTGGAGTTTGTGTATTTAGGGATGCCTAAGTAAACCAAAGCCGTGTGTGTGTGTGTGTGTGTGTGTGTGTGTGTGTGTGTGTGCGCGTGCGTGCGTGCGTGCGCGCGCGTGCGCGTAATCTTGTTATAAGGCCAATAAGAATTTTTAATGTGTGTGTGTGTGTGTGCGCGCGTGTGTAATCTTGTTATAAGGCCAATAAGAATTTTTAATGTGTGTGTGTGTGTGTGTGCGTGTGTGTGTGTGTGTGTATGCGTGCGTAATCTTGTTATAAGGCCAATAAGAATTTTTAACCAGGTTTACTTAATCTGGAGAAAAAAGTAGCTAGGTATCAGCCTAACAATGGAATTATGTCTATATTTTAAAAGTTACTAGAGCCTTTCTTCAAACCTTTTCCCAAGAGTTTAGTCCAAAAGTCTTTAGGAAGGAGTAAGCAAGGTAGCCTAGAGTAGGGTGTTGGAGCCCAAGCAGGTCAGGAGGACGCGCCGAGAGGTGATGAGAGCAATGCTCAAATAAGTAAATGTATTAAGGATAATGGAGCCAGCTGGAGAAGACAATTACAAATATGAAAAGGGAGGAAATAAGAATGAACCCTGTGGTGTTGAACTAGAATTGGGGCTATCAGTGTGAACCCATGGTTTTCACAAATAGAGAGATGATAGGTAGGTAGGCAGATATAGAAATCAACATAGATGTAAATGTGTGTGTACGTACATACATGCCCGTGTTCACCCACTGAGAGGGCATGGGAACAGTGATACCCCAGCAGCAATGACCACTCCCAGCACCCAGATCTTGGCTTCTAAATATCATTCTCCATTAAAAAGAACCAGGGCTCCCTGGAGATTTGGCTGATTCCAGGACCAGAAAATGAAGAAGTGCTCAGAGAATGATGGGGACACAAAAAAACAGAAGCCAGATTGAAAGGCTGGGACAGTCCTGTGACAATTTGAACGCCAAAATAGATGACGGTAACATATTATAATTCATTCAGTAAAACAGGAATCCCTGAGTCCATACTGATTTAAAAATAATAAACTGAAAGTGTAATGAGGAATGGGATATTTACAAGGTCTCAAAGTACCTCCCTAAAAGAGACTCATTAATTACAAAGGGGAAAAGAATAACTTTACAGTGAAGAAGCATGGCAGACACCACCTTCATCAAGTAATCAAAGTTAACATCATCAGTAATGGGGCAAATTAGAATTGTGCGCCACTTGATAAGATGCAATAAGAACACGGCATCTCAGATCTTGTCAAGATGGCGGTGTAGGCAGACTGTGAACTCACTTCCTCCCACAAACACAACCAGGTTACAACTATTCTTGGAAAAATTACCCTGGAGAGAAAACTGAAAACTGGATAAAAAGAACCCCCACAACGAAGGACAGTCCTGACTGAGGCGGAAGAGGGAGAAATTCCTCTGGAGAGAAAGAAAGCCACCTTCGCAAGTAGCGGAGCTCCAGAGCCAGCCAGGCGGGAGCCATCCTAAGGTACGCAGCCCTCCCTGGAGGAGTGGGGACCTTAGCAGGGGCGCGTTAGTGCTATAAGCATCCTTCAGACTCAGCACAACTGAGACAAGTGTCCTACTATCTGGCTTCACTGGCTATTAACTGCAACAGGGAATATCCCCAGAAAAGCTATCTGACACAAGCCGAAAAAACCCGGCTCTTAAAGGGCCCATGCACAAATTCACTCATCTCAGAGAGCAACCTAAAATCACGAGAAGGCTGCACAGTCCTTTGGTGAAAAGAGACTCACCTGGCAGGCTATGGGTGCATCTCAGTGAGAGGTGAGACCTCCCCAGAGACTGAGACATTGATGGCATCCATTGTTGTGACCTAGTACAGGTGTGCTGACACAGACGCTGGCAGACTCCATTGAAAGTCTTCCCTGGCCTGTTAGCCCAGGGGTCGGCCATACCCACTAGAGTGCAGCAGATTTAATCTAGTTCAGACAGGGTAGGCAGCCCACCCTAGGGACCAGCCCCACCCAACAGTAAGCCCTCAGGCTACTTGTTGGCCTGCATAGACTGGCTGCCTTGATCCTCTACAGGCAGGTGAGTGTGTCTGCCTCTGTGAGGCAAGGCCTGTGTGAGGACCAGGTAAACTGCAGGGGGGTTGGTGGAGAGGTGGGGGCCTCTGCAGTGGGGTGACTGGGTACGCTCCAGGGGGTCGGGAAGTGTTCACAGACTAGGGCTGTGTTGACTGTGTGTGTGGACCTGTGGGGGGTGGGGCTTTTCAGTGGCAGATGACCTGTGCTTCACAGCCACAAAGAGGATCAGCGCCACCTTCCAAAGCCTGAAACAATTCGGTGCTCCCATGCCTGGGGCCAGCCCCACTCAGCTGCAATCCTAAAAGAGCTGACAACAGCCTTGAAGCCATGAGGCCTACAGCAACTGTAAGACCCTGAGCCTGACAACCAGCTACACAGGGTAGCTACCGAATTAACAGGAAAACTGCAACAGGAGGGTGCTATTAGACCTTGCAGCCAACTGTGCTGGGGCTTTCCAAACCCGATTTACAAATAGCCAGCCAGGGAAGGAAAGACTAGACTCCCTGGGTCCCTGCAGTAAGAGCAACCCTGCCACAGCAGAAGGACACAAGTAGCCCACACAGGGGTCACTCCTGGATCATATGGACTGGTGATGAGAGAGAAGCACACTGCTAGGCCTCAAAAGGCATCTCTTACTTAAGGCCACTTCTCCAAGATCAGGAGACATAGCTGACTCACCTAATACATAGATATAAACACAGAGAAAGAGGCATAATGAGGAGGCAAAGGAATACATTCCAAGCAAGGGAACAGGACAAAACCCCAGAAAAAGAACTAAATGAAACAGAAATAAGCAATCTATCTGACAAAGAGTTCAAACAAAAACTCATAAGGATGCTCACTGATCTTCGGAGAAGACTGGATGAACACAGTGAGAACATCAACAAGGAATTGGAAAATATAAAAAAGAACCAATCAGAAACAAAGAATACCAGAAATGAAAAATTCACTAGAGGGACTCAATAGCAGAGTAGAGGATAGAGAAGAAAGGATCAGTGAGCTGGATGAAAGACTAGAGGAAATCACCCAAGCCAAACAGATAAAAGAAAAAAGAATTAGACAGAATGAGAACAGCAACCTCTGGGACAATATCAAGCACACTAACATTTGTATTATAGGTGTCCCAGAAGGAGAAGAGAGAGATAAAGGGGCAGAGAATCTATTTGAAGAAATTAATAGCTGAAAACTTTCCCAACCTAAGGAAGGAAACAGACATCCAAGTACAGGAATCACAGAGAGCACCAAGAACATAGCATCTCTTCTGTGACATTCCTATCAAAGATACATGTCCCGAATTTAATCACGAGGAAGCATCAGACAAACCCAAATTGAGGGACATTCCACAAAAGAACTGGCCTATAAGATTCAAGTGTCAAGATCATGGAAGTCAAGGAAAGATCAAGGAACTATTCCTGACAGGACAACCAAATGTAACCTGTAACTCAGAACTGGATCCTTCTGCTATAAAGGATCACTGGCGAAAGTTGAATGAGGATTACACAGTGTAACATATCAGTGTTAATTTCCTGATTTTGATGGCTGTACTCTGGTTATATAGGAGAATGTCCTTGTTTGTAGGAAATACACATGAAAATATTTGTAAGTGAAAAGCATCATGTCAGCAATATACTCTCACACAATTCAGGGAAGAACAATTCTTTGCAATATTGCAACTTTTCTGTAAGTTTAAGGGTGTTTTTAAAAAGTTAATAGAAAGAAGGATTAATCATCCATTAAATAGGAATCTACATTTTTGGTAAAAAAATTATAACAATTCAGAGGTAGTAGATGCCCTTCTTTTTCTGATCTTTTAGAATATCCTCATCTGTGCAGCCATAGGATTCAATGTATAACTGTAAGTATCTATTTAGAAACACAAAAATAATACCAGTACCTCCTAAGCTGTCAAGATCCTCAAGAATCCTGCCAAATCTGTGAAATAAAGAAAACTGTAATTAAATGAAAATCATGATGACCTCCCTTTAAAAATAAATAACACATTTTGGGGAGGTGAAAATGTTCTAAAGTCAACTGTGGTGATGGTGGCACAACTGTCTGAATATACTAAAAACCAGAGAATCGCACACTTTACATACGTGAATTGTATGGTGTGAGAATTAACTCACAGTTGTTATTTTAAAAGGACGTAAATAAAAACAAATAACACAAATAAAAAAAGTGCTGTGTTACCTTACGGTGTTTTGAACAGTCAAATATTTTTCTCGTAATTCAGGCTGACTGCCCAAAGGCAAGAGAACTTCGATGTAACTGTCTTTCATTCTCCTAGGTGGCAGTCCTTCCTGTGACTTAGCCAGAAAACTCTGAAGTAATTTTCTTTCCTCCATTGCTTTCACATGGTCTCTGAGAAGGAAGATTGCAAGCTTCATGAAACACAGGAGCAGTGCAATTCCACAATTCCAGTGACATACAGGCCAGTCAGACACCATCAAAGGAGGAAAGAGGTCTGGACCTACCTCATCTCCTCTTCCTTCCCTCCCTTCCCACTTGCCACTTGGTGAAATTAAAATTTCCTGTTAAAATTTCTTAGGCTTCTAGATAAGAAAAACATACTTAAAAGTGATAGATATACCCAAATGAACCATATATTCACCCTCATCAAAAAGTGTATTCAAAGAATAGAATATTTGAAATAAAATTAAAAATACAAAAATAGACACAACAGTATAAATATACGGGCTAAAGAATGACATGGCCACTGAGCTCCATATTCCCATTTCTCACCTTGATAATTCTCGTATTCTCTGTGCCTCAGCTCTCTCTCTCTCTGCCTTCAATTTCAGGAAAGAGAGACAGAGGAGGAAAAATGGAGTCTATCCAAAAGAAGTATGGAAGGCAGAGCAAAAGGTAAAGAGGAAGAGAACATAAAAAGGAGACAGAAAGGGAAGAAAAAGAAGAGACGATTAAGGTGGAAGAGAAGAGAGAGACAAGAGGACAAGGAACTAAAATGTTGACAGTATCCTTAATTAAGATGTCTTTATAAGCTTCACTTATGAAATATTATTGCCAAAAAGTATATAGCCTACAAAAAATATATGGAATAGAGTAACAAGTTAAATGGCACCAGGTAAACCCAGACTGTGGAACATTCTACAAGACAAGATTGGCCTCTTTAAAGTCAAGCTAGCTCACAGGAGAAAAAAGGAAGGGATAACTACTATTCTGGATTAGGGGAGACTAGAGAGTCATAACCACTGAATGCAATATGCAATCCTTTATTGGATCTTGAGGTTTTTTAAAAAGCAATAAAAGACATTTGGGGGACAGCTGAGGAATTCTGAATACAGATGACTAACATGCTCTTATGGAATTACTGTCAATTTCATTATGTAAGAGAATGTCTTTGTTGGAGATACATGATGCTACTTTTGCTACACAGGAGAATATAGTTATTTATTGGAGATGTATACTGAAGTGTCATGATACCTATAAGTTACTTAGAAATAGTTCAGCCAACATATGTATATCGGCAAATCTGGAAAAATGTTAATAAGTATCCAACCGAGATGGTGGGGACATAGGTATTCATTTTTTCCACTTTTCAGTAATTGAAATTTTTCATATAAAGGGTTAAAAAGTCTTCATATAATTTCTAAACCTATAATAGATTATTGTATATCTAGTGATCACTTGTGCTTGTTCTTTTTATCTCATTTTAGCCTCAAAATTCTGTGCACCAAGAGGGATAGTATCCTATTTTACAGCAGGGAAACATTGAAAAAGACAGAAAGGTTGTATGGGAGACCTGGTTAATTGTGAACTGACAAGAAGCAATAAATGAGTCAGGCTGCATGAAAAAGAAAAACCAGGAAACTTGGGTTCAAGTTCCAAATCCTGATACTTAATTGTTCAATCTGAGTTTCAGTTTCATCATCAGTAAAAAAGGGATAGGAACACAGGCCATAAGCACGTCACAAGTTTTATTGAGAATCAGTGAGATAATATATCTGAATGCACTTTGAAAAATGTAGAGTACATGTAAATCACATTATTGTATGACGACAATGCATCAACTGATGAGTATGTTGGAATGTTGATCTTCTCCCCCAAGTAAAAAACCTCTCAACCCATTTCCAAACACAGAGCCCCCACCCCATCCCTACAATGGGACCATCAACTGAGCCTAAATATGGCCTAGCATACCACTTTAGGGATGAAAGAATGAATGAACACAAGAGTGCGTACCTCCAGTTTGTGGATGCTCCCACTATCTCCCGCAACTTATCCCGAACTGAAACAAAAATAAAGAGGTCATTCCATGAAACAAAGAAATGTGAGAACTGGATTATGGCAACAAGTTCAAGAACTATGAAAAGCGGTTCATGCACTCAAAAGCTTTAAAGACGCATGAATTTCCATTTAATGCCACAACAGCTCAGGGAAGGGATCAGGCCTCTGCTACCTGAAAACCTGAAACAACTATTGTCTCCTTAGTGCAGAAAAGAATACCCTTGTGCCATTCACTGGGGTTTATATAAACAAATAAAAAAGGATAACTCCAATTATTCATCAGATAGGGCTGTATCAGTGTCAGTAGGAGTCCCTTTATGATGGAGATACTATGAACAGAATCCCTATCTTCTTACAGGCAGTAGTAGAGCCAATAACTAGTTCAGGGACTAACACTAATAGCCAAATCTGAGTCTCATTCTAACTGATTTCTCATATATTCATACTATCTGAATTGTTAGAAAAGTGTAAGCCAGAAAAATGAAGCAAAGATGTAAATCAAAGAAAGGCAAAGAATGCAATTTAATTTTAGTAAATGCTCACTGCCCAAAAGTGCAAGAATGAACTAGTGCAAAAAAAAGACTTAAGCATTTAAAAACAAAGTTGATACTAATTACCACACACACCATGATTCACATGTATAGGTGAACATGCTATATGGATAAAGGGAAAATAAATTAGACAAGCAGTAGTAATTCAAAACTAGAAAATAAATCTATAGGATTTCAAAAATGTGTTGAGTTCATGTGTTTTTTCTAGTATTTTAAAACATATATTCCAGTTATAGGAAATTAACTATAGCAATCCTTGGTCCTTCAATAACTAACTGATCAAAACCAAATATGGTTAGATTAACATGCACTTTAACTTTCATGAAAACGTAGTTGATTTTTCTATCAAACAAGTGTTACATACCATAAATTTAGTGCAAACTCTAATTACAATTAAATCATACAGAACTACAAAAAAAAACCATATTTTTTTCTTCCTGAGTTTCTCGAATAAAAGGACGGAAAGTACCCCAAACAGTACACAGACTACTGATACTCACTGACATAAAATGATTATTACTAGTTTAGTCAATGTAAGAAGACAGGCAGGTACTGAGGGCCAAGAAGGAAAGAAGAATTTTAAACTACATATATACATATATATTTATTTGGACCCTTTGAAGAAGCTACAATCTTAATTATAATGAATACTCCTAAATTGATAAATACATCCATAGTTTGCATATCAGATTAGCAGGTGAAATTAACTTCAGTTAGGCATAGATTAACAGGATCCCTCTAACAAAACTACAGACAAGGAGCATTTAGTTGGTCCAACTGAAGGCCCCATCTCTTACTTATGCATTAGGTCTCTTTTTCCCATGCCTTCCCCTTCAGTACCTACACCCAGGAAGTGGAAATCATTTAATTGAGTTCAGTCCCCAAGACTCCCACGTACCAAAGCTCAAATTCTGAATGTGATTTCTACCCAAAGCTGTCCTGGCCATTTTATAAATGAGAAGTTTATGAAAGATCTACCTTTGGTATGCCCCATTTGCCCTATGTTATCTATGTATATGCCTCCCAAATAAAACAAGGTTTTTCACCACATAGGTCTAAAAGCTAAACACCCATGCTTGCCTTCAAGAATGTGGAAGACATTCTGTTTCTCGGGATTCTGGGATCCTTGAGTCAGTCCTCTGGCAGGAGTAAGGAGTCCCTTGTTCAAGGTACAAAGCCTACAAAACAAGATAAACCACACTTAGAGTAGATTCATGGTTTCTTCCCTGGCAACTCCAAAGACCTGTGCCTCCTCCCAGAGCACCTGGCCGTCCCACACTCTTCATATATACTGCCTGGTAGGAGTCTGGATCTGTTTCTCAAGTGTATGTATGTTTGCATATGAGGCTGCTCCATAAATCACCTAGCTAGAGTAAACATTTCTTGAGAGCAGAGACCAATAAGGTAACTGTCTACAAAATCAATAAAAAATATCAACCAGGATTAATGGATTTATTCTTGCTTTCTGTTTTGTTAACTTCAGAAGCCCAGAATCGATTTGGTAAACGGCTGAGTAAATTAATTACGAACATTTATTTTGTTCTTTATCATCACACCATATTTCCTCAATAAATAACTTCAACCCAATTATAAGTTAATCAACCTTGAAAATAGAATTAACCCTTCCCAGACTCAAAGAGAGTATTTATTGGACTTAGGCAGAAATTCCTTACTCCCTAATGAAATAAAATAACAGCTATTTACCCAAATGTGCCTACCCTATTCTCCCAAAATCAACTGTTTAAGTTGATTTTGTTTCACTCTTGCTTTTGCTTAAGTGTTGACTCCTAACCACACACCATCCCACTGAGGACAACATACATAGACCAGGGATTGACGACCTGCTGTGTTGAGAGCACAGCTGAAGAATGAAGAGGTCAGGAACCCCAAACACTGTTACTCATTCTAGCTCCAGCTACTAGTAAATTCCTACTACCTAATGCTTGGACCAGTAATGACTAAACTCCCCACCACCACCAAAAAGTACATTTTTAATTTTCTTTAGAGCTCAAGTTTACTACAGATTTCTCTTCTAAATTACAACAACAGGAAGTCTCTCAGTAAAACTATTTGGTGAAACCTATATGTAGTCTTGACACTTGTGCTACTAGAACAAATCCTTGTCCTTTCACCAATCAACTAATTTAACTGCAAAGAACACATAAATATGAGCACATGCTCACCGGTCGATTTCACTCCTTGGCCATCCAGTCATCACACTGGCCACTAAGAGGAGAATGCTCGCTGGACTGTTTGGGGTTGGGTTTTGTGTCTATTCTTCATTCACGTGGCTAACAAGTCTCTATCCTACATATTTTGCATTTATTTTCTCACAATAAATTTTCCACTTCCGTATTTTTATATGCTGATATTTCAGTCTTCCTGTTCTCAATGTTCTAATTTGTATTTTCTCAGAAGGTGATCTGAATTTTTTTTCACCATTTTATGTATTTTCTGTAGGTTCAAATCCTTACTGAAGGAAAGAGAGTGTGTAGTCCTTCATTCTGCCATCTCAGAAACTAGCATTCTGCAACTGACTACATCGGGTTTTAAAAAGCACATTGGAAAAAGTGAGTCTCTTCCATTGCTACTATGAGTTGAAAGGGCAGAAAAATCATGCCCTAAATACACTAACTAGCAATTATAGTAGATGCAGTAGATGTACCCAATATAAGAAAAGGGATCTGACTCCGAGTGGCTAAATACTTTGAATATTCCTCACAAACTAAGAGGAGCTATATAACCAATCTCAAATATTTGGGGTAAACACATAGCTAACGAGTATTTTACCCTAAGAAGCAGCATTTTCTGAAGTGATAAAACCATTCCATCCTACCTGTGTGACAGGCAGTACAGCACAGAGGTTAAGAGCCTGACCATGCTGCTCGTTAGCTGAGTGACCTTGGGAAAGTTACCTAATCTCTCTGAGCCTCAGTTTCCTCATCTGTAAAATGGGGATAACAATAGTACCTATCCCATAGGGCTGTCATAAGGATAAAGAAGTTAACATACCTTAAACCCTTAGAGCTGTGCCTAGTACACTGACAAGTCCTCAAAAAACTTTAGCTATTATTATTCCAGAAAGTCATGCTTCTCCAAAGTCTCCCCCTAAAAGTTAAAAAGGACCAGAAATTTAGAAAGCACAAGCCAGGCTCCATGACCGACCATCTCCGAATGGAGAATCAAATGGACAGAGAAAAGGAGTTAATGAATACCAAAGAGAAACACTTGGGTCAATTTATTTGGAAAACTGTGGTCCTGCAGCCCTGTTCTTTGCACACTGCCTTAAGAAATTTGGAAATACATCCCTGTAGCACAACAAAGGTGTAATTTGCATGTTTAAAAAAAATTGTTGATTATACTAATCACATATTGGCATAACAAATTTCCATAGTACCGTGAACATTCAGCTTATGGTAACTTTTCACTACAATTTGGTATCCTATCTATTGATAATCTAATGAAAACTGTGGACCCTCATGCCAGGGGGAAATACATTTTCACTGACACACAAAACGGTATATACTATTTCAGAAGGTTCATAGACCACCCCCTTTTAACATCCCCATGGGTCCCTATATTAAAAAAATTCTGATTCAGACCAACCTCCTGAATAAACTGAGGCCCAAAGAAATTAGATGACTTCTCCCCAGTGCCAGTCAATTGGCACAATGTGTACTACCCAGTTCTACTGACCCTTCTTCCCATTCATACATATACATACACACACACATGTGCAGGCAAGTTGCTCATTTCACAATCTCAGGCTTCTTCCCTTTATAAATGCAGCACTGACCGGAAGGGATGCATAATGGCTTAATCACTACCCAACACCTCAGCACCTCAGTAAGTCAGGGTTACCGATTTATCCCGTGAAGACTCCATGATTAAACCTTTCCAATTAAAGGAGACCAAGGAGCCCAACCTCTCTAGGGCCTGCCCAGGAAGTCACAAGTCACCTGAAGGTGGGAACAGAAGTGTTTTGGCTCTGTCCTGGGACCCAAGCTTAGGGTGAGTGTCTGGGAAGAGTTTTCAGGGCAATAACAGGCAACGCAGCTCATACGCCCTACCCTCTGGAGAAATGCCTCAATTTAGAGACTAAACAAATTCAGGTGACTCTTTTGTGAGTCGGGGGGGAAAAAGAAGCTATAAAGATTGCCCACCAGTTAAATAACCTCGTCATCTCAGACAGTCTGTACTCATTTATGAACTCTCTCTCACTAGACACTGACAGAGTACCTGCTTAAGGTTCAAGAGGACTCACAAGAAAGGAACGCAGGCTTATGAGAGTTCAGTGCAAAGAAAGAGGAGTTCCAAACTGGAGGAGAGGAGGTCAAGAAAGGTTTCCTGGGAGAAGGCACAAGGGCAAGACCGTGCAGCTAGCAGAAGGCCTTTCACATCATGTCCAATGAAAGCCAAAGCCAACTGTGGCCCTTCTTGTAATGACTTTCAACCTGTCTTCAAATAGTGTAAAGACGTTTTTCTTCTTTAAGTGCTATAAAGAGAGAGAAGAACCCTTTTCAACTGATAGCAAAGTCCGCTGGGACAGTGAGAGAGACCCAGGACCCCCAAGAGAGTTGATGGGACCAGTGTCAGGCAGAATTTCCGTGGGCCACACCGGAGGTGCAGGCGCACCTGTAACGGGATGACTCCACAAGCTGGACCAGGGGTGAGCCAGCTGGGACCCGGCCAGGCAGAAAGCACTGGGAACAGCTGGAATGCTCCAGGGAAGGGGGGTCGCGGAGAGCCACGCACGTCGTGGAGTCTAAGGCCCTGGGCCTTAACTGGGCAAGCTGGGCTGACGACACAAATAAAAAGGCAGCCTTCTTGGCCATGGGGCCCCATCAAAGCCCCCGCTCCACCTCGCCTTACAGGGCCTTGCTGCTCATTAAATGTAAAGCTCCAATCAGCTCGAAGGACCCTAGGCACAGTCCTGACCTCCTGAGAGCCCAAGAGGCGCCCTGCAATCTCTGCCCACCTTACAACAGACTTAAGTCTGAGCCCAAGTGGGTCAAGCAGTTGACCCTAAAAATCCTCTCTAAAGGAGGGCAAAAGGCTGGAAAAGTACTGTGGAGCTCTAAACACTAGCTTTCTGATAAGCGACTACCCCAAAACCACACCCCTGAGGGGCAAAGAGAAAAGAATTGCAGGGAACACCCAACTTCCTCCCTTCAAGCGCCGCTAGGCTGTTCTAGCAAACTCCGGGCCAGGGGACGCGACGGCGGGCGCGCGGCGCCCCACGCCAGGCCGGCGGGCTCGGGCCGGGGCGCGGCAGGCGGGCGCCCTTTCCCACCGGCCCCGCTTTCCGCCCAAACGCCCAGGGCATTAGTCCCGGCCGCCGTTGGCGGCCCGCTCGGCCCGCTCCGCCCCCCCGCCCGGGCCCGCTAGCTGCGCGCAGGGCGGGCATGGGCGCCCCCAGCCCGCGGCCCGCCAGGCCCCCGCTACCTACCGTAGCGCCGCCCGCCTCATCGCGCTCTGCTGCCCGGCACGCCACGAGAGACCAGGGCCAGCGCCGCTCGGCGGAGGGAGACTGAGCAATGGAAAGCGCGAGCGCCAGCGCGCCGGGCCGGACCTCCCTCCCCACGACCGCACCCTCGCCGAGCAGCCGCCCGGAGGCGAGGCCTCGCGGCCCGGGGGCGGGACCACACCGAGCCTGCAGCCCCGCTCATTGGCGGGAAGCTGGAGTCCGTCTCCGTGGTGCTTCCCACTCCATCAGGAGCGCGGGCCGTGAGGCTAACGGGAGGACCGGCCTATCCCCGCCGTCGTTGATTAAATGCACCACGCAGCGCGGCCGAGGGGTGACGTGGAAGCCAAGTGCGGCCGGGTACTTAGAGCTTGACTCCGTCATCCTTCTTCGCTGAAGGCCCCGCGGCCTTGACCGCCATGTCTCGGCTCCCAGGCTGTGTTCTTGCCCGTAGCTGCATGTTGGAATCTTCTGGGCAGCTTTCCAAAATACTGATGCCTGGGCCCCACCCCCTGGACATTCAATTCCGATTTAGTTAGTCAGAGGGTGCGGCCTGGTCTTCAGGATGTTTAAAGGCGTCCCAGGTGATGCTAACGCAAGCAAAGGTTGAGGACTAGTGACCTAAAGGAAAAAATTGTTCCTCTTCTAATCTCAGCCTGCCCCCTAGTGTTGCACAGTTGGAGATCTTGGCCGGCCCAGGGAAATTCAAGGCCGGAGAGTTAGGATGATTTTACGCTACGACCTGATTCTCCATTTCATTCAACGAATTCTTATTGAACTGTTTGCAGTGCGCCAGACGCTGTTGTAGATACTGGGGATGCAAGAAAATAGACAAAAGTCCCTGCCCTGAGGGAGGCTTACCTTATAACGAAAGAAAAGTCAGCAAGCAAGTTAGCAAATAACGTAATTCAAACGCGGTAAAGCGGTCTAAATAGGAAATAAACCAAGGTGATGAGAGATCTTTCAAAAATATACACAAGTCTTGATTTGCCCCTGAAGATGGTAATTTCCTAGGAGACAGGGTCCATATTGTATGCTTTTTCTGATACCCCATGCTTGGAAAAAGTTTGTTGATTTTAATTAAGCCGGCTTTTTAAAAATCACTTCATAAATTACAAACGTAACACAGTCTTTGGCTTTCTCTTTCCTCTCTGCCTAACTTTCCCTGCTCTTCTCAGCCCTACATCCAGAAGACTCCTTTTGGCCTGCAGGGATCTCTCCTTCATTTTTGTTCATATTGTCTGCACCTTTTCAGTGATGGTTTTGTGTCAGCCATGCTACCTCATACTCTACCACACCTAACGATACAATAAATATTGCATCGAATTACACTATTTTTTTTCTTGTTTTTACCTGAACTTTTGGTTGAGGCAATGATAGGCTCAGGGAGAAAAATTAAGTTCAAGAGAATTTTTCAGGTTACATAGATGTTATAATAATGGGTAGGGACGGCTTATAACTTTTGTGCAATCAAATCACCTTCCAGCAAGACACATTCTTAGCCATGTATAAACGGTATGGGTTTGGACCAAACCAGCTGAAACCAGGCACTCAAAGCCATGAAGATGCCTTCTCTTCATCACTTACGTTTGCTTTCCTTTGCACACTGGCTTCGTTCTTTTTTCTCTGTATAATGGCTTTCTCCACATGGCAAAAGAAGCTCCTGAACTTTACATCTTACTACCACAGCCACATGCATAGAGACTGACCCAAAGTGCTGCATCCCAAGTACAAAAAGTCCTGCGGAGAGATTCATTGGCCCAGTTGGGATCAGGTACACATCCCTGGACTGGTCGACTGTGGCAGCAGGGCAAGGTCATATGATTGGCCCATTTGACTTACCAGGAACCCCTTCACCCAGACCCATGGCCAGGTGCTAGTTCGTGATCTACTAACATGGCTATTTGCAAAAGTGAACACACAGATGGGGATATGGAGCACTTCTCAGAAAAGGAGTACTTAAGCAACCAACCCCATAGATGTCCACTACAGATGTTATTAAAAGAGGAAGAAAAATGATCTCACCACTTAACCCACTTATCTTAGTTCTAGCCTCAGGGAACCCCCGCTAAACCTAGCCAGCCCAGCATTCATCCACACGTCTACGATTATCTCAATTGGCAGCATGCATGAAATTCTTAAAACAGCTTAGCATCCCTGATTTCTGTGTGTGTGGTGGTGGTGGTGTTGTAAAGTATATATGCTATACCAAATCGTGGGTAGCAGAGAGAGAAGGCAAAGTAGTCACAAAATCAGACCAGGAAACATGCAACAGTTGTACAGTGGTAAGAATCACTGTCCTTAACTAACAGAGTCTCCACCCCACCTTTTTGTTTCCTCTTATTTTCCATTAGTTCTATTTTTATTTTATCTCAGGGTAACAGAGAAGGTATCAAATGTATCATTAAAATAAAAGGCAGCTAAACATGCACTGACAGATACATGAGATACTATCAATGTCATCATCCCAAGTAGAAGAATAAAATCAAATGACAAAACTGAACAACATGCTGTCAGTGCAATCTCGTATTATGAGTGAAAAGTATCTAGTAACCATCTTTCCTTGAGCTGCTGAACCATAAATACTTTTGGATATCTAATTTAGGTCGAAAATGTTCTTGGAAAACTATGTCATCAGCTTTCAAACTAATTGATTCATGCTATGATGTCATTAGGATAGCGAAACTACTTTTTAAAAATTAGCTTATTTCTTGGGGCTGGCCCAGTGGCACAGCGGTTAAGTTCACACATTCCACTTCGGCAGCCCGGGGTTTGCCGGTTTGAATCCCAGATGCTGACCTATGCACCACTTGTCAGGCCATGCATGTGTCCCACATATAAAGTAGAGGAAGATGGGCACAGATGTTAGCTCAGGGCCAGTCTTCCTCAGCAAAAAGAGGAGGATTGGCAGCAGATGTTAGCTCAGGGCTAATCCTCCTCAAAAAAAAATTAGCTTATTTCCTGGATTATAGAGATTATACAAAAGGATCCAGAATAAAGTTGGGAGGAGGAGGAGGAAACAGTGAAAAAGCATTTTTCCCCCTAAACCTTAAAGAAAAAACTGGAAAGACTAGTGAGCTGTTACATGAAAGTGCTTAGTATTATACCCACTTGCTCCAACAGAAGCAAAAACCAGGCTAGGCGATTTCAAAACAGTGGAGATTCTTCACACTGTCCCTGCCTTTCCTCAGCTCCACTTTTATGACTGCTTATCAAATCCAAATCTTGAAAGGCTCAAGTCTGGCAACACTCTTTTTCCTCTAACAATTTCCTCTTGCTTAAAAATGGCAAACATTTAAAACATGTCACACTATTAGTGACATGGGATCAGAGGACTTCTTTAGATAGGTTGTCTTCATTTCAGGGTGTCATCTTCAATCACGATGTCTCTTTCAATAAAATAGGGCTTAAATGGTAAAATTTCAAAGGGCATCGCCCCTAACCAAGCCTAATTTTCCCATCATTCTTCGCCCTTTCGTGTCCACCCTCCCTCCCACTTAATCCACTTTTTCCGATAAATTCAGTTCTCCTTCCTCCATTCATTCCTCACTCTGCATCCTATTTCTCTCCATTCTCTTGCCCACCCATTTTCTGTCATCTTTTTCACACCACCCCAACTGCTACCATCCCAGGTGGGAATCAGAGCCTCCCTTCAGACCCCAGGGCAGCCTGTTCACCTGGGCCAACCCTGCCATTCCCCAGCCCAAGGAAAACCGACAAGTACCCACTAATACGATTATAGCTGCGGCAGGATGCATAACCAGGGAGGGAACAAAGCTATAAACGTACTTCCCCATCTCTGCAAAAGCTCGTGCTTCAGAGTGCATGCAAGCTTTTGAAACTTACTTTACATTGAGGATTTGTATATTTTATAGATGCTAAAATCATGCTGGTTGTTTGAATTCACATCACGTGCTTTCGGGTGTAAATTTGCATTTTGTGCTATTTGGAGATGGGGCCACACAAAAACAGGGTGGTTCCATTAGTATTAGTTTACTTTATCTTAGGAAACACATTATCCTAGCTGGCTCATCTTTCCATGTGATATTTATGCGATTGTTAGCCTGCTTCATTCAGTTTATAGTACCGGTAACTCATCAGCACATTGCGCAGGACCCCACATATGGCTTCTCTTTGGCCTCATCTATGGAGATGCAGAAACCAAACCTTGAGGGAGAACAGATCTTTGTTTTACTCCTAAAAAAGTCTCTTTAAAATGGCCATTTCTTCCTTGACTCCAGTTCCTACTATTACCCACAATTCCTCACTCCTTGTGAATGTAGATATATAGATAGATACGGATAGACACAGACACACTGAGAGCAATCTGCTCTAATGTATTGGAATAAATGTCTCAGACCAGGCCTGCCAGAGCTTCAGTTTGGTATTAAATTGCACATTTGGGGCCTTTCAAGGAAGTGAAGTCTAGTGTTGGGAAACTAGAGAAACTGTCACTCTCGGGAAGCCCAAATTGAATACTTCAGTGATTGGAGCTGCTCCGTTTCTAACTGAAGTCTGTGGCTTCCAGTCTGGGCCTGTAAGAGTTGAGGAACATTCTGAGTGACAGGTGAGGGAGTGGGTGGGAGGGAATTCGAGAGGGGTTCACTGTTGGTGGGGCATATCCAGGAGGCTCAGAATTCTGTTGAATCCTCCCTGGATCAAGAGCCCCACGACACTGAGCCGCTTATGGCGCTGCCTCCCCACAGCCGACCTGCAGATTCTCTGCATTCCAAACCCCGCCAGCCCACACCGCAGAGAACTAACGTCAGCCAGATGCAGTCCCCACCGGTTCTTGGGCTTCCCCTCCCTAATGCTGACGTCACCACCACTGCATATCCTCCCCACGTGCCTCCCCATTTCCTCTTTCAGCACCCTAGACACACACAGAGATTCAGTGACGACACTGGAGAGACTACGAATACAGAGATGATTAAGGCACAGTCCTGGGCCAGGAAAAGAAAACAGCCTAAGAGAGAGAGGAACGTGGAAACAAATCAATATAATTTAATGACATTAACTCTAACAGAGGAATATGCAAAGTACCCCTGATATAGCAAGAGTGAGTTGTTCCTGGACAATGTAATTTGTATTTTTTGTTGTTGTTTTTTTGAGGAAGATTAGCCCTGAGCTAACTGCTGCCAATCCTCCTCTTTTTGCTGAGGAAGACTGGCCCTGAGCT